GAATAAACGATTGATTGTTGCCAGTTTCATTGAAAATTGCCAGAAGCTAAGATCCGCTAACCGGAAACGCCACCGTACTCACGCTTTTGCTATTTAATGGCTGTTTATAACAAATAAAAATAGACTTTTAATTTAATGTACGATACTTACAATGCGAATGAAATCTAAATATAGTTTACGGACATCATCTTGTATCTAGTGTATTCTTAGAGGAGTAAGTAAAAACTCTGGTGCATCCGTTTCGGAGTTTATTTGCAAAATTTATTAATTTATAAGTATAGATGGGGTATACGGAGAACGCTTGATTTCACCAAGACGCTTGTAAACAAAGTTGAAAACGTCAAAACTGTGACAGTACTGTTTCGCAAGACATCGCTTTATTTACATTTTATGAAGCGATTTAAGAGAGGATATGAGAAAAGGAGGAATGGAAACACGTGGCAGAAAGGCAGATTTGATAGAAAGGTACTTAAAGTTAATAATTCAGCAAAACATGGGAATTACTACCATTCGTAGTAATGATGTTGTGCAGACAAAAGTGTGCACTTGTTAACGTTAGAGGACGTACTGCATGTACGTTTGTCTCTCACATCACAGTCATTGTTATGTCTAACATACTCTTCATTGTCAGATTGACACTTAACTTCAATATAAAACTTGTAGAATGTGAAGGCGTCCAGCCTCTGCTGTCTGAACCTAAATTGGCTAAAAGTGGAATGTATATGGCCCTCAAAGATGTGTCAACAACTTTAGTCATAACATTGAGATCTGCCTTGTATCTGTGTTCAACAAATAGATGTGTACTTTATGAACAGATTTGCAGGTTTGTTTACTGTGTATGTTGATAATCATACTTATATTAATGCAAGACATTGTGCACTCATACACACACCCTTGTATAGGGATCTTATAAGTAGTAGTACAGTTAAAATTTGGTATCTCGAACATTGAAATTTGGGTTCCGTAGAGTTTGAGATAACAACATCTGTATTTACCTGTACTATGCAGCACTAGTTAGAATAATCTAACTGTGTCTCGGATCAAGCCCTCACAACATTCTGGATTAGACAACATTTAAAAACAAATGAATTTACTGAAATGGACTTAAAGGTAACATCGTATTAAGGTCAAGATCTAGTAAATGATTTTAGACTAGATCCATTATGACGTCATAATCATTTTCAACTTTCTTTTTCCCGTACTTTACGGCTCTAATAAAATTATGTAGAAAATAAAGTATTTTCATGGAATTCAATTTGAAATTATGTGAAAAGTAATCCCGATACCTATATCCAATTTAATATTTTTTTAAAGAAGAGCCCAAGAACATACAAATTACAGTTTTCTGAGAGACTGTAGGCAATCTGGATACATTTCATTTGTCTGATTTGGAAAAAACTCCCGTATTCATGACAGTTTTTCTTAATTTTTCATTGAAAATAAGAGTTTAAAATATGATTTTTTCATCGTATTTACCCATAAATTATGCCCCGAAACAAATTCTTTGACCAAGCTAAAATTACAAAACATCATTAAAGGAATTTATTTCACAAATTTGAGAAATCTGTAGGCACCTTTCATTTACTAGATCTTGACCTTAAGCAAGATTTCGGATTCTACATCCGGATTAGACAAGTTTTACTTGTATTATTTAATAAAGTTAAAAAGTAGGGGGTCAGATTTCTATGCGGGTCATTATTCAACGTGTGTGGAGTTTTCTACGGTCGAAAAATGACCCACTTGCAGTAGAATATTGACGGGGGTCACTTTTCCACGTAGAAATTTGACCCCCAGGTCAATATTCTATGGGGTCACTTTTCGTCGTTACAGGGGCACTATCAACTACCAAAAATTCCTTGACAAGCAAAAAAATAAATAAAAAAAGGTTATCAGACGTTACCCTAACAAAAATTTGCTATAGTTTACTATAGTTTACTATAGTTTACTATAGTTAACTATAGTGAAAACTTTGATACTTTGATTTACTATGAAACTTTACTCTAGAACTTTTTTTTGAGATTTCAAAGCTTAAAATCTCTTAAAATCGATAACAGTAATGTAAAATTTGGAAATAATGTGTGAATATACAAATAATATTCCAATTTGATATAAAGAATGTGCATGTATGAATTGAAGAACAAAAAAAATCTAACGATCTGAAATCCATAGTAAAAATACTTTGATTTACTATAGTGAAAAAACTTTGATACTATAGTTAACTATTAATAGTACTTTTTTGTTAGGGTATTATTGAGGGGGCACAAGCAAATAGTACCTATTTTTTCTATAGTATCCTATATATCGACAACATTATGGGGGGGGGGGTGTGGCCCACGTGCCCCCCCCCCCCCCGGTTCCTACGGCCATGACATTTAAAATTATAGGTATTCTCCCCTCAGTATTACATAATGTCTGATGACCCTTTCCTTTCTTCAACCCCCCCCCCCCCCCGAGAGAGTAAATCAACCGAAATTGATTCCTATAAGCCTGTAATGATCAAATTTATATTATAAACCGTAACGATAAGATTGTTCAATTAATTACCTTATTTTCTTGTTGGAATTTCATAAAAATAAAAAAAAAAATACTAAGTCTTTCATAATTTAATCTTTCTTATGTTGGTAATTATGACAATAAGGAAACAAACATTTTCCGAGCATGCAAGTGTCTTGTATGTACATGTACATATATTATATTTAAATTGGTACAAACTATCATATTCTTATCTCCTCCTGTGCCTTGGCTAGAAATTAAAATGAAGCCCCGAAATCCTCTGGTGTTAGATAATTTATTAATCAAACTGCTTTTGGTGAGCGTGATTGTAACATCACTGAAAAAGAAATACTTGATGCGATTAAAAAAGTAACTAAAATGTGAAAAGTCACATGGTCCAGATTTATTGTTAAATGAATTTTTATTGAGTTTCCAAATTACATTTTGCCTAGATCATACCCAATCTGTACAGTAAAATATCTAGAACTGGCATCTTTCCTAACACTTGGTCGGAGTCGATCATTGTTCCAGTGCATAACAAAGATGATGTGTCAAATCCCAATAACTATAGAGGTTTGCTTTTGTAAGTTATCTATACAGGGTGTTTCATAATATACGTTGCATTTTTAAATCTAATTATTTTTCTTACATATCATATTTCTATTACAAACTATATATCATTTTAAACATCAAATCCTGCATTTTTGTTCCATGTGAAAAAGTCAAGGAGATCATGGTATTACAATTAATTGTGACACAAGCGCCGATGTCATAATTTGAATATTTTTCGAAATGGATAACATAATCATACTGCTGAATTATAAAGCTGTTTTTTTTTCAATACATATTACCAATATCCATTCAGAATTGATGAAGGAAATATTCCAAAAGAATGGATCGAAGCTTTCTAGGATGCTTATCAGAAGGCTAGTAACAAGATTAAAGGACAGGGACGGGCAATATGCAATAAATGACACGGTACTTCAAAAAGCCTAAAGACTTCAAGAACCGAAGTTTTAATTGGCGAACTTGAGACTCTTAAGATAGTTTAGCAAATTTCTGAGAAAAGTGTCAGATTGATGTTTTCAGAAATTGATGCTGGCAATATCAGCATTTCCAGTGTATATTGAACTTTGAAATACACCTGTATAATATGAAGTTATCAGCGTACAATTTTTTTTAATAATGCAATACCCCATGTAAAGAGTTTGACCTCTGCATTCGCCAGTCTCAATCTTGGGGCCTTTTTCTGTAGGGGTTTCTTTAGGGGACTACAATCCTAGACCACAGATACTGAATGAACTCAAAAAGAACATAAACCTTCAAATGAGGAATGTCTAAGCAAAAATGTGTGACAAGGTTATACAAATTTCAAAAAGCAACTTTCATTTGTAGTTGAAATATTGGAGATCATTTAGAATATGTATTGTGGGCTTTTGACGTTGTGAAATTCAACATAACAAAAATGAGGTAATTTAGAAATTTCGCTAATTTTCATTAATGTTTGAGATTTCGTCTCATATTTTACATGTAATTGGTAATTGCACATAAAAATCTTATGGATAAATGCATCAAATTGATAAAAACACTTGTTTGTATCCTTTTCTTGTATTTGTCAAATTGAAGATTCAAAATGTAACATATATTATGAAACACCCTGTACATCTACATGTATTTTAAACCAAAGACTTGACTTTTATTATGGTCTTACAAAGATAACATAATTACAGATGCACAATTTGGATTTCAGCCTCGAAAGGGTACATGTACATCGGAGGCTTTTTTTTTTTTTTTTTGCTTGTCGTCATTTATTAATTTGACCCTATTTAAGAAAAGGACATTATTTTGATGTTTTATAAATTTGAGAAAGCTTTTGACGATGTAGATCGAATAAAATTGTTGAATAAACTCAGCACGTACATTTTTATATTGTATAAGAAGTAAATTATTGAGATTTACTCGTGCTATGTATGAAAGAAAATATAGGGTTACATTCCGAAGTAGGTTGTCAGAAATTTTTTGAAGCAACGCAGAAGTTTTAGAAGTGTTATCCCCCCATACTTTTTTTCATTATATGTAAATGATTTTCGAAGTAGAATTTTTGAAAAAATGATATTGTTCCTGTATATTTCGGTGAACTTACATGTAATTTGATTGTATTAATGTATGCCGATGATATGGTCATCTTCGCTGAGACTGTGGATGAGCTTCAAAAGATGTGAGATATATTATACGAATGATGATTTTTTTTTTTGGGGGGGGGGGGTTGAGGGGCAAGGGAAATTCTTTTTTATTTTTAGTTTAAAATTCATGATAATAAATTTTATAAGGATTCCATGTATTCTATTTAAAATGGCACACATTATAAAACTTCAATACCTTTTTAATGTAGGGCATTCGTATTAAAAAAGATACTCATACATGTTAATGGGTCATGTACGCATTTGTGCCTTAATGTCAAATTCATATACTTTCCATAAAAGATATAAATACAATGTAGTCTAGAATGAGATCATTAGCTTTTATTTTTTTTTTACGTAATCATACAGATAGAAATCATCATCTTTTAAAAACAAAATAAGACAGTTTTAATTGTGACAAAATCTGATGTCTCCTCCCTTTACCAAATTATTTTCATGTCATTCACTAGATATATACTTGTATACATGTACCTGTATGTAACATTGAATTCATGTTCTTGAATGGACATTATACATGTACAAATATATATATTGCAGGTAGTGGAGGTTACGTTAAAAGTTTTAACACCAAGGAATCCATTGTTAACCGAGGCTAAACCAAAATTGACAATGGTTTTCGAGGGGTGAAAATTTTCAATGATACCCTCCATACAAATATCTGATACATGTATATAAATGATAATATCAAGATATGAAAATATCACTTTGATATTCTTTCACACTGATACAAAATATTACATCTATTTCACTGTTGAAAATGTAATAAATAAACAGAGAACCATGCAATCGATACATATCTTCCCCTTAAATACAAATATTTCACTGTTGAAAATGTAATAAATAGAGAACCATGCAAACGATTAATATATCTTTCCATTAAATACAAATAGAATATTAAACATGAAGATATTTTACGACTTCTGCGAGAGTAAACAAAGATAGCGTAATAATGTTGCTATTAATAGAAAAGGAATACATACTGTTTGAGCATTTACACTTTCAAAAGTTGCATTTGCTCATGAAAATGTAGGCACTGAAATTTCCCTTTTAGCAACTTGAAGAAAGCATTTATCAGACTGAAATCTTCACATATATATAAGATAAAAATGGCACAGGTGAAAGGTTGAATCTCATTTCTAAAACGAGTCTCTTCATACTTGAGCTTCTTGTGAATCATAACATGTATACGCATTCTGATATAATTCTATGAGAACCTTGGTTACAGTTGCACGCTAAATGTCAAACAAAATCATGTTGTAAAACAACTATCATCCATTTCATCAAACTTTTTATTTAGCGTTTCTTGATCTTCTGGTGGTTTGGAACGACTTGACCCGGCACCGCTCCTTGCGCTCCGAACAGATTCCATTCGGGTTTTTCGACTTTTACGTTTGAATTCGTCAACCTGTTTTCTTTTTTCTCTTTTGAAAAATCCACACTGTGCAATAGAAAAAAGGGTTTCTTCAAGTTTTTAATGCAATTAGAGGTATACAGAGGTATATTCCGGCTATTATACATCAAAATGTCTTCCAGGAATCAAATCATTAACAACGGTTCTATTTTTTTTTTTTCACATTAATGTTTTACACGTTTATCAAGAAGACATGGTTTTTAAAAAGTACGGTTCATTACTGAGAAAGCCAGCATTTTTTTTAATTTTTTTTTTTGTCTACGTAACCAACGAACAATAAAAATCAGTCGCAAGAAATGCGTCCGTTCGTGTAGCCAATTGATATCTTCAAACAAACACGTGAAAGAACAAACAAGAAAAAAACAAACCTTCCATAAGATGATTCCCAGAAGCACAAATAATAATAGACCTCCTATAGAACCCAGGATAATTATTGCTAGGTCTACTTCCTCCACACCCTGGGAGAAGGAGTTTGGAAGAATAATGGCTACATATATCTGTAAAATTATAACACAATTTAATATTTCAGAGAATTAACTGAAAAAAAATAATATTAACAGATGTAGCACGAATTCACTTTGAAAAATCATTTTCAAATGTGTGAAAGATTTAGCTCAAGTACATTGCTAAAATGTTAGAAGGGGAAAACATGTTTAATTGAAAACTTGAACCTAAACAAGAGCTCTTATAAAAACAAAAGTGAAAGTCAACGAAACTTACAGACCTTATACAAAAAAAAAATATTTGTACAGTAAAGGCTGCGTGAATCCATTTATTTCTTTGCAAGTATAGAGGAAATATTGTAACACTTAACTGTATATACTTCAACTATCGTATTCGTAAAATTGATACTACAATGTAATTATAGAACCATGAATATTCCATACATATCGTACCTCTTCTGATACGTTTTTGCTCAACACCAATGGCACGCTTGATTTCTTGTTTGGAATCACACGACCACGTGTGACAAACGTATAAAAAGATTTCCCCTGAATATATAAAATACAAGATAAAACATAAAATAAGATTCTTAGTCTGTTCAATGAAAAATAAGGATTTGTTCCCAATTTTTTTTTTTCATGTATATGAGCGACATGATTTTTTTCTATCTAATTTACGCTTGTAAAACTTAAAAGTCTTAGTCAAAAGAGCAGTGTCTAAGATGATTAAGTCCAATTTCAATTAACACAATATTTGGATATTTTCATAATAATTTCACAATTTTACTTCTTATCTCTGAACTTTAAAAAGATCCTTGATAAAACACTATTTATAAATGATTCATTTCTTTGTAAAATTTATAATGTCTTTTGTTGTCCCATTCCTGCCCTATGAATTTGACAAGGGAAAAGTGAATTTTACCTTTTCCAACTCAGGTAGATCCTTCAAGAGGATGTCGAAAGGTATCCTAAAGGTTCTGCTATCGCTGTCCTCGGGCTTGACCATATTTAGTGTACATTCCACTACGGCACACATGTATGGTCCGAGGCCACTGTCACAGTACTAAAGGAAGGTACGTAAAGATTATTTTTTCTATCATATCTGGATTTTTTGTGATTAATTTTAAAAATGTCTTCGTAAGGATTCTGAATTGATGATAAAACCAGTGTATAACATTTACAAAATACATGTTACAAATATACAAGACAACGTTGCTTAAATTACTACTGTTCATACAGGTGTTATAAAATAGTCAAAGTAAACGTAAATATTCATAAATTTTCTGCAAGTAAAATGAATAAAATTGTCAAAACCGAAGTTTTCATGTATAGCTTACAATGTATTGTGAGCTCTCTAGCATGCCCCTGATTGGCTGAAAATCTGCATTCGTGGGTGTGACCTTTATACCGGAAGTATTGTACTGCAAAGTGCTGCTGCCTGATATGGGGTTCTCAGTGGTAGTCATCAAAGTGCCGAGAGGATAGTACGATATTTTGCATTGGTCTTTTTCATCACTATTTTGTACCTTTGATAATTAAATGTATACCAAAGTAAATGTCTCCTTGATTTTTTTTTTTTCAAAAATGAGATACATAAAATATTAAATACAATTATTGTAATATAATCCCAGATTGCAGAGATCAAATAAAATCGTCAACAGTATAACTAAAGATATAAATTTGTCAAAAAAAGTATATTTTCAATCTTCAATTCAATCTCAATAATATGAGATCGAATCTGCAAAATTATAGAATATGAATCGATCCTTATTGAAATATACAATTTCAATTAATTTCAACCCAAGGGAAAATTTTAGTTGAATGTATAACGATATGTGATCTAGTGGTCGAACGTCTTGTTCTGCCTTGTAGACATAAACAGTATATTTGCTGAGGTTATAAATTATTCATACATGTAATTAAGAGGTGTCCAAAAAAATCTGTAATATCCCACCCACCCCCAACTAATAATAATATTATCATACAACATATATCAAACACTGACATTTCAAACTTGATTAGTAGACATTTGTTATATCTTGATACCTTGACATCGCCTTCTTTGATAAAGATTTTGTCTTTAGTTCTGACGGGAATAAAGAACTGTAGATCAACCTTCTCTATAACACAAGGTCCTTCGTTAAAGAGGCGGTAGGTATTGGAGAACTGTATACTACTGTTAGCTGTTGTTATCTGTTCATCTGATGCTGATCTGTAATGAACAAATTTGTTTGCCAGTCTATTTTGTCATTTTAAGCGAAAAAATCCTTTTCCCGAAACATGTTTGCATATTTACAGAAATTACATTTTAGCCAAGAAATTCAAAATGTCTTATCAGATTTGTTGATCAAGACCTCAAACAGGAACTGTCAATAGAAAATGTAAAACTTCGCATTTGAAAAAGATTTTTTTCCCCAAACATTTGACTTTAGTCAAAATTTTTCTCTACGAGCATATATTTTGTCCTTTGAACCTCTTTAAAAAAGATGCAAAATAACAATATTAGTTGTAGTAAACTTACACCTGCATAGTGGTACGAGTAAACGCAGCTATATCAACATTTCTAACCACTGTGTTATCTTCTGGATAAATGTCATTGTTGGTTAGGGATGTCACATTGAAAACGAGGCTTTGTATAGATACATAACCGGAAGTCAACTCCAATAGATATTTGGACACTTCAAAGAAAATATCCAGTTCTCCTTTCATACGTTGATAAAAAGGATTTTCGATTTCACATTCTATAGAATTATTGCTTTTCATCTCCACGCAAGACATTTTCACGGAAGATTGACTTATTTTCATTGTATTGAATCTCACTAGATCAGAGTATTTAATAATAAGTGAAGTTTTGAAGGATGGTTCCCCAGAGTTTTTCAGAAGTATTTTCGTTTGTAAGATGGTGTCATTGCCGATCAGAAGTCTCTTCTTGTCAAAAGTCACACGAAGGTTCAGATTTGATCGACACATTCCATCTTCTGATTTACAGCCGGTGTCAAAACGTGCCTGAATAAGAATTTGTTTATAAGACAATTGTTTTTATTATTATTTATTATTATTCTATTATTTTACTTTTATATAGCGCCTTATCTAATTATACAATTATCCTAAAGCGCTTTACATTTAAAAACAAGTACAATATAAAACGACGAACAAGTACAATATAAAAAAGAAGAATAGTAAATAAATCATAGGGCATAAAAATAATACCAGACTAAATCTAAAGTTTTTTTTTTTATTTTTTTTTTTTTAATAGATATTTGATGAGAAGGACAAACGCGTGTGTGTGTTGGAAATTCAAAACTTTATTGCACATTTTAGTAATGTATTGATATATGCTATAACAGACCTAAGCTGTTAAGGAAAAGTCAACATTCATTGATAAATACAAAGGTTTAAATATCGAAAGTCAGAATTTATAATGTATTAGGAAACATTTTTGACTTTTCAGCTACAAAACACTAAATATAATTATAAGTTTTTCCTTGGTCTAAAATTATTTTAGACATGAAGGAACCAAAAAATCCACAAAAAAATATATTAAACAAATTGTTTGGACTTTCTATATTACATGTACATGTATAGTGTAGTGGTTGGACTTAACGTGTATTCCTTTTCCATATAATTTTTAACAACAAATCAATGCATTCTTAAACAAGAACTGTAACAAAAAATATAAGTAAATTTATACCTTTCCATAGAATGTTGGAGTTACGTCCCTTTTCAGAATAGCTCTTACTTTCCCGGATTGTGATGAGTCACTTATTCTGTAATCGACCTTAAGAACTATAGGTCTCTCCATGACTTGGAAAAACCTCCTGTCGATGACCTGTTTCAATTAATATTCATCATTTTACAAGTAACAATTTCCTAATTGCATTTTAAAGGCTACATGTATAATAACGTAATCTTAATATTATAAACAGAATATAGTCTTTCGTTTGTAAAAGAAGCTTATAAAAAAATAAACTCTACTCAGTTTGAAAAGAGGTTTTATTTGAATTAAATGATCATGCCTTTCTATTAAGCTTTTTCAGATATAAAGTGAACCTACCGGTACCCTTAGTTCTAAGTTATAACGATGAGGTTTATTAGAAAACACGATGAACCGGGACACAGTCTTTGTCCAGAGCTGACTCTTTTGGTTGATGATTTCTGCTCTTTTCCGTGTTTCATTTGCATCAACAGTGATTGTAAAATCAATTTCTAAATTGGAAAACAGTGTAATTAGCAAAATTAGTAATTTGTTAACTCACATTAATATCGTGCCAAAATAATGAGAGGAATGAATCTGAAAAATCAATACCATAATGATGAACAAAAATAATTACTCTTTTCAATCTGGACCTCTTGGAAAGCATATTCTGAATCAGTTTGCAAAAGTATGAAATTACATCGTACATATTATTATTAATTTCTTTTCCTTTATAGAGATTGACTTTTATGAAATTAAAACTAAAAGCTTTGAAAAATGTATAGTTCTACATGTAGATGAACTATTAAAATTAATTGAAAAGAGAGAAAAATGCATGAGTGTTTGTGCAAATCACAATGTTTATAGTTATGCCTTAATGTATCCTCTCCTACACTGTACATGGCAATTCTTCACAAGAAGTTCTAAATACCAAGCACATTGTTCATAAATTCTAAAGATTTCTTGAAATTGAATTTTGAAGGTACGAAATGATTTAAAAGCGGTTGGAAATAAGGCGATATAGTAAATAATTAAGAAATGGACATGACTTGATGGAAAACAAATTGAGTGTCTTGAGTGCAACTTATGATTAACTCGGGGAATATAGCTCCATACCAGTATCCGTTATTCCATCCCCGGTAAAATTAAAACAGAGAGACACAGAGAAACATGGATTGTAATCCCGACCATAACTGCATGATGTACCGCTAGCGTTGAGGGGTATGCGGTCTGGGTTTGTTGTTATTTCACAGTTGACATTAATTATGTTTCTAGATCTTAGTACCATAGCTGTGTCTGATTTGTAGGCTCCAACAGCAAAATCTGAAATAACAACACAAAAGGAAATTAAATATTTAAAATCCAATGATATGCTGCAATATCATGATGTACATGAGATATTTTTTTTTTAAAAAGAATGTTTTTTAATCGCTCAGTGAGCAAATGAAATAATTCACATGGAAAATTCCATTTACATGTTTAGAATTCAAGGTATTTGCTCGCAAATGAAACACATTTATAAGTATTGTTGGCATATGTTCATCATTCCTTTAAGATTACGATCATTATACGTTTAATTAAACATATGTTGAGGGCTCCTTACATGAACTTAACATGTACTGAATTGTTCATATACGAAACGTACATTTATGACCACATGTTCAACACGTGTATCTTATTTTTATGGTAAGCGTATATCTTAAAACACGTTTTTAACATACTCTGCAATTTCAACTGTTTATACTTTAATGAAACTTCATACATATATATTTTTCCCTATGAGTTTACCATTAAACATATTGTCATCTAAATCCTTTGCTGTTCTTGATATATACCATCCAAATCCTCGAAGACCTGGCTTTATATTGGATCCGGTTATTTTCTGTGAGTACAAAGCTTCTAATTTAGGCTTTCCACCATTGAAAATGTAAACAGCCCCCTCTTTGTTTTCAAACGGAGCTCCAATAGCTATATCTGAAAAACATAAAACCCATGGTCTTCTATGTTTATTTATACCAGAACAGTAATATACAATTAGTCAAAAAGAAAACATGTGAAATCTGCGAGTAATGAAAAAAATATAATTTTAAAGCATGTAATAAAACCGTAAGGCCATGTTATATACAGTGAATTGCTGATTGAATATTATACGGTAAAATTAAAGGAGAAAATAATGGCTAAAGAGAGAAGTAGTAACGCTGCTCAGTAAACCATTATTACAGAACAATTGTCATCAATTAATTAAGGTACCTGAAGATCCCATCATCATCATTCATAAGTAACAATATACACATTGAAAGAAAGCTAAGACAGTAAACTTGACCTGATCACAAACCATTAAATCCATCCCTGTTTATGTCACCAATATTAGCGATCGAAGTCCCAAATCTTGAGAACGGAGAAAATGAACCATGTAATTTTTGCGGTGTATCGTCAATAATCTGAAAGATTTACAGATCATTTTCCCATTCAGATATTCTACATGAGTAAATATTAAATCAAAAGGATTAATTTTATTCTTTCATTTGATTGCTTTAATATTAACTACACGTACGTAGGATAGATTCCTTTATATTAATTTTGCTTAAGTACATTTATATAATATTGATATGCATGTAACTATATAATTCGACACTAATTAACTTCACAATGTGAATAGGAACACACGATATTTGTTAAAAAATAAATACATATGCTTATATTTGGCTTACAGATGATGTTCCCGTGCCGTAATATATATAGACGGCTCCGATATCATTGAGCACTTTGTTCCCTTGGTCGTCCATAGAAAACCAATTTGGTGCCGCGACCAGGATCTCATCATTATTATCACCATTTACATCAGCAATACAGAGTGCCTGACCAAATCCACCTCCAACCTGATTTTATACCGATATAATGTACCAACTAGCTTGACTTGTTACAAAATTTGTTTTGTCTTAATCAATCATAAAATTTTTATTATTTTAAAAGCAATTGTTTTTTATTCAATTCAAAAAATAAAAGGTCAAACCTGATTTCCTTCAATCTGTTTGACTTGAATTGGAGGTGCACCAAATATAAATACGGAGAACTATAAAATATATGGAGATAAAGTACAAACGATCACGTAACAAAATCGTTTACAAATTATATACATGTATGTAATATTATACAGAAACAATCAGGCAAAAAATGTTGATGGAAAACATGATGATACAAATGAATACGTGATACTGAATATTAAGAACATTAAATAATGCAAAATCATTAATTCTATTACATAAATTGTTTTATACAACTTACAGCGCCAATATTTCCGTTTTTGTTGCTGAATCCAGGTGCGCCTACCACAAAATGAAACGGGTTTTGTCCTAAATTTCCAGTCGCCATGCTATAACCTATAAAGGTATAATAAAGGTAAAATAAAAAACTTACTATATGGATATAATCTAAATAAATCTCTATAAAATTTATATTATAAACTGACATTTCTGCAGTATTATGAACCGCATTTCATATAATTATAAACTTGTTGAAGGCTTTTCAGCTTAAGAAATAGGACAGGTGTACATGTGAAAATGGAAAATATTAATACTGTACATAACTATACGACTCGGAACATTTAATAACTATAAAGAAACAAATTATTTTAAAAGGAAAATGCTTACTATAGAAAATGTCAATTATACATTTAATATAAATAAGATTATTTTCAAATACCAGGAACATACATGTATATTTTCCCCCTACAAAATAAGTAATTTTAAAGGAAATTAACTTTACCTAAGAGATTTTTCTCCAAAGCAATTAGATATTATTTTTTTCCCCAACGAAATGTAATCTGACACAACACTTAGAACCTACTGCATCAAATCATATGTTTATTTTGATAGTATTACATAAAAAATACCTACCGAATAATGACCCAGTTAAGTAGGTATTCTTTATAACCTCTGACCTTTCCACTTCTAGTTTCAGTGACGTAACGCTGGTAAGTGTGCCGTCGTTTTTACCCACAATTCCTCCTATATTAAAATAAATTTTGTTTAAGGCCCTTTGTGTTGTTCTTTGCTTATTGATGTATATAATAGCTCTTGAAAATGGACAACATAATTAATGTACAAAAAAAAAAATAAGCCCCCCCACCTTTCTTCCAAAAAGAATGAAAAAAAAAAAAAAAAAAAAAGAGCCAAAAATGAACTAGTAGATGTAAAATACAAAACGAAAAGAGATAAAAGTTTTAATTTTATTTGTAAAGAAGCACTTACACATATGCACATCAGTTTTACCTGTTGAACTCCTTCCAACATTTGGTGCGCCATAAAGGGTTTCAAAAACTGGAGTCTGAAAAATCAGAAACTTTCACTTAAATATTGATAATTTATTTTTAGATCAGCATAATAATCATACTTCTTAATATTCTTTACTGCCATTGTGTACCAAGCCACATTTCTGTGACATTAGTGTGCGTGCTTAACATTTATTTAAGGATCCTCTATACACTGCTCACTGAAGAGTTCCAATCTCATGGTCCTTTATTGCAGTGAGAGTGACCTACACCAGGGACCCATATACTTAGTATATAGGTCCCTGCCTACACTTTTATTTAAAATGGAATAATTGAATTTTAAGGTAAAATACACTGTTTGTATAATCAACTTAATGTTTATAAGATTATATATTATGACCAAACATAATATTATAGCCTAATTATTTTCATAATTTTTTATTTTAAATTTTATAAATTTACGGGTTTTTTTCTGCAAGATGTTTAGAGGTTTATATATTTATTTCCCACATTTAAATAATCATTTGTTTCTTGATGATACATGTAAGTACATGTACTTTGTAACTTAACTTACCTTGATGTCGGAAAGTGAAAATCCAATAAGTGGTGCTTTGTAAAAATCGAGGAGATCAGGTGGAATTCGGAATCTGCTTGTTACCGGATTATTCATGAGATCGGACCTATTTTTCAGGAGGAAGCAATTTCCGGTCACTTGGTAGTAATCTTCCACATTATCGTTTGGATTAAAGAACCGCAAATTCTTCCAGTTTGGTGCGCAGATCTGTGATGTTTAAATTCAAATTTTACCCCGCAAGGTATTCTGAATTTGTAAAGATTCTAATCATGTATTAGCTTTCTTTTGGTAATTATGAGAATCATAGCAAAATTTTATATGGATAAGAAATGGATGTTAAACCTTAAATACATGTACCTTGATTGCTTTGGTCTTATCCTCGGGTACAAGAATACTGGCCCCTAAAAGTTGTTCTTTTTCTTCGAATACGTCCTGTGATTTGTTTGCGTGAAGTTCTATAAAAAATATTTGAGAGAGAGATTGAAATTAAGAAAGCCATTTTGTATATAGATGTTGGAAACAGATTGCCGATTCTATCAATAAGCACCATAATTATATATTCAGAGAATAAAGACTTCTGAAGAAAGAAATCAGACAAGAGGCCCTAGGGCCTTAACGGTCACATGAGTACAATACAACAATTTAGAGGATCCATAAACTGATAAATGTAGCTTTATTGCCTAAAAGCAAGAAAAATAGTATGATAAGCGTCAACAAAATGATTGGTCTAGTATCTATCTGTTCCCCATTTATCACTATTACCATGCAGACTATTTAACAAAATGTCTATTTTTTAACCCCATATTATTACTTCTAACATTGGCCTCTCTTAGCCTTTGAAGAACATTTAAAAAGATACTGTTATTTTTGTCTCATTTTGATTCATCTATTATTTCCAAGTCTACCTGATCATTAAAACTGTGAAAGTACTTTTTGTATTATACAATTAATATTCTTGCATAATTCTCGTATTCTATTAACCTTTCAAATAAATTGTTTACAGTGATGAAATATCAAAGGTGAATGCGAAAAGGGAATAACTTTGCTCAACAGAATACAAGTTAATAGAGCACTGGCCAGGACCAGAACACTTGACTAAAGGTCAAGATGTTCAAAATTCTGGTAAAAATATTATTGCATATTAAAACTTCTACTCTGCCTCAAATATGCCCAGAAGCATAGAAGATTTTCAAAGAAATGCATTTTCACTATATTATTAGATATATAAAGCACCACCCTTACACCAGAACATCTGAACCAAGGGCCATGAACTCACAATTCTGGAAGAAGCACCCTTGCCCATCATAACTATACACTTGTTTCTTTGCTTTATAACCAGTAGTAGAAAAAATATTTTGAAAGAAATTATGCATTTTCACTATATAATCAATAGAGTCCCCCCCCCCTCCCCCTCTTCACCAGAACCCCTAACCCAGGGGTCATGAATTTCACAATTTTAGAAGAGGCATTCTTCCTTATCACAACCATGCACTTCCTTTGTTTGAATAATACCAAGGAGCAGAGAAGAAGATTTTGAAAGAATTTATGCATTTTCCCTATATAATCAATAGAGCCCCGCCCTAACACCAGAACCCTTTACCCAGGGGCTATGAAATTCACAATTTTCGAAGAGGCAACCGTGCTCATCATAACTCATCGTCACTATGTACTTAGTTTATTTAATATCCAGGAGCATAGAAGAAGATTTTCAAAGAATTAATTCAATTTTACTATATAATCAATAGAGCCCCGCCCTAACACCTGAACCCCTGACCCAGGAGCCATAAAATTCACAATTTCTGAAAAGGCAGCCATGCTCATCATAACTGTGTTCTTAGTTAGTTTATTTAATATCCAGGAGCAGAGAAGAAGATTTTCAAAGAATTAATGCATTTTCACTATATAATCAATAGAGCTCCGCCCTAACACCAGAACCCCTGACCCTGGGGCCATGAAATTCACAGTTTTGGAAGAGGCACTCTTGTTCATCATAACTATGTACTAAGTTACTTTATTTAATACCCAGGAGCATAGAAGAAGATTTTCAAATAATTTTTGCATATTCATTAAATATATTCAATAGAGCCTCGCCCTAACACCAGAACCCTTGACCCAGGGGCTATGAAATTCACAATTTTGGAAGAGGCAACCATGCTCATCATAACTCACCGTCACAATGTACTTGGTTTATATAATATCCAGGAGAAGAGAAGATTTTCAAAGAATTTATGCATTTTTACTATATAATCAATAGAGCCCCGCCCTAACACCAGAACCCCTGACCCTGGGGCCATGAAAATCACAATTTTGGAAGAGTCTCTCTTGCTCATCATAACTATGTACTTAGTTACTTTATTTAATACCAAGGAGCAGAGAAGAAGATTTCAAAGAATTAATAAATTTTCCCTATATAATCAATAGAGCCCCGCCCTAACACCAGAACCTCTGACGCTGGGGCCATGAAAATCACAATTTTGGAAGAGGCACTCTTGCTCATTATAACTATGTACTTAGTTACTTTATTTAATACCAAGGAGCAGAGAAGAAGATTTCAAAGAATTAATGCATTTTCCCTATATAATTAATATAGCCCCGCCCTAACACCAGAACCCCTGACCCTGGGGCCATGAATTTCACAATTTTGAAAGAGGCACTCCTGCTCTTCAAAACTATGTACTTAGTTAGTTTATTTAATACCAAGGAGCAGAGAAGAAGATTTTCAAAGAAATAATGCACTTTCACTATATGATCTATATAGCCCCACCCTAGCACCAGAACCCCGGACCCTGAGGTCATGAATTTCACAATTTTGGTAGAGGACTCAATGCTTATTACAATCATGCCAACAGTTTGACTGCTTGATGTCCAGGAGTAAAAAAAGAGGATTTTTAAAGATTGCATTATTTTTGGTGGTTTTAGCTCCACCCCTCAGGCCCCAGGGGGGCAGGGCCCATGAAATTCATAATTCTTGTTTCCCTTCACCCATAGATGCTATATGTTAAATTTGGTTGAAATTGGTTAAGCGGTTTCAGAGAAGAAGCTAAATATGTTCAAATGTTAACACACAATGCACGACGCACGCCGACGGACGAAAACGAATAGCAATAGGTCACCTGAGTGATTCAGGTGACCTACTAAAAAGTTTATTTAAAGAATTATTTTCTGTTGAATTCATACTATGCACCTGCAGTCCTTAAATTTGATAAAACTGTGCAACTGGACTTAGAATGGAAATCAACTTGGCATGCGTAAACATTTCCAGGATGTGGAATTTCCGGTCTGTCGGTGAAATTATCTTTTGTAGCACCAACAAGGACCCTAGAATAAATAACAGTATTAAAGATTTAATTATTTTATTACTTAGAGTGTAGTCAAAGTGATTATATTTGACTATATTTTGTTTATTTTGTTTTGTTTTGGGTCAGTGTAAAATGTCAAATTGATATGTACATATAACAAGTAAGATCCCGTTCACTATTGTGGCTTACTCTCTTTCTATTCATGACAGGTTTTTAATGTGAACAAGTGGGAGAGAGAGAAATCTTTTTTTTTTTAGATTAGGGGGAAAGGTTACTACAACCTGTGTAGCTTATTATACATTTTGTTGGTTAGCATTTGCTGTGGCGGCTACCGATAATGTTTAATTAAGAAATAAATAATAAGGTTAAAAAGCTCTCTGGGAAATGAACTTGGTAGGCCACGTGATCAAATCCTAGATTTGATCGCGTACCAGCCAAGTTCATTTCCCAGTGAGCTTTTTTAACCTTAATTATTTGTTATTTATTACTTGTGTATTTACAATTAAGAAGAATATTCGAGTAAAAAATTTACACGAACGGCCCTCCGTATCACAATGTTGCGACCTGCAGTGACCTAGAAGTTTCGTTCAATTTCAAATATGAAACTACGTTTTCAAAGACCTCCAGCGACCGGCTGCGCAGTAACATCGATATTCCGGTACATTTTGATTCGTTAACAAAAAATATCGTATTGCGATACGTTTTTCCAGTACCGATATACCGGCAAATTGCATGGACTTTAGATTTCTTAAGTAAAATATGAAATTTAATAGGTCAGAAACGTTTTCAACCATACCAAACGGTAATGTTGTTGTTATATGGTTGCATTTCGTTCTAAAACTGTAGTGAAATCAACAAGAACTTTTTGGTCACAATGTATTTATAAATAATAGTTTTACACACTCTCCATATAGATGAAGGTAAATAAAATAAGAAAAATAGCATTTTAGCTATCATTGAAAATATTGCAATACATATCGCAATACAATTAAAAATATCGCTATATATCGCAATACGAAATTCTCAGCCGATACCAATGCAGCCCTAAGCACCTGTGAAATTGTACTTATAAACTCTTGATTATTAAATTCTGATAAAATTGTGTTTTGACCTTTTACATATAACCCTCTGGTTATTAAATTGAGAATGTCATTTAATCATCTTCCAACCTTTTGGCCAAGTCTGCGATTATAAGGTCAAATAGTACTTTACACACTTTATGTACATGTACTAGAATTGTGTCTGCTATTTTTAATAAATACCTAATGGTAAATTTGAACTTGGAGTTTTACCTTCTGACCAGCGGCGTCCGAGCTATTTGTGCACATGGGGAAATGGGGAGACGTTATTTTTGATTGCTTCGTTGGAATAATTCCTTATTGATAACATACATAAAACTTATGAATAAAGGTTTTTAAAATTTTCTTAATACTAAGTCTAAATGTTTCAATTTGTTTTTCGTTTCTTATCAGATGTTTGTTAATTAATGATTATATACATGGCCGTAGGAACCGTGCCCCCCCCCCCCCAATAATTTTGCCGATATATAGTTTACTATAGAAAACATAGCTACTATATGCTTGTGCCCCCTCAATGAAAACATCTGATGACCTTTTTTTTTTTTTTTGCTTGTCAAGGAATTTTTGGTAGTTGATAGTGCCCCCTCAACTGAAAATGTATAGCTGTGCCCCCCCCCCCCCCCAACTGAAATTGCTTCCTACGGACCTGATATATATATATATATATATATATATATATATATATATATATATATATATATATATATATATATATATATATATATATATATAATTGTTACATGAACTGTTCCCTAACATGGGCAAGCGTAGGATATAAAGACAAAAAGTATTGAGTTTCCGGATGCGAGTTAAAGTGCCTAAAATCAAAAAAAAAATGTAGAAAGTTTAAGAAGAGCTGAGTTTTGTTATGAATACACTACAGTTGCAAATGAAACAACGATTTTTTTTCTGCACATCACATTTATTGTCATATGTATCCTGGTTACGTGACTCTTGTAATTAGTGTAATACCAAATGCTGAATAAAAACTACACACACTGTATTAAAAGGAAATTAAGTTCTAAACACTGTTTGGGAGGCATGCACTTGTGAACTCTTGCACAAATACCAGTGGCAAATATAATTTAAATGAGAAAGCAAACAGAAGTGAAGTAGGTACGGCTTCATTTAGGATTATAAATAACTACATATAGCATGAAAAAGTAAAGCAAAACATATACAAAAAGTGGTTCAATACAGGATTTATTGCAAAATAAAAAGTACAATTAGGATGCATGGTCACAAAGGATAAGAACAGTCAGGTCACTTATTGCAGGTACATTGATAAGGAACCCGACCTGTACATGTAGTACCTATAGTTGCCTTTGAAAGATTAAATAAGTTTTGGCTCTACATTGTATTTAACAATTATTTTTTTCGCTGAAAACGGCTTTATTGAAAAAAAAAATTAAATTCTATAGGTTGGTACATTGTACTTGGTTAATTCGACTTAAACAAAAGACGCATTCGATCTTGACTAAAGATTTTGTTTAGCATAGAAAACGAAAAGTGAATTTGATCTCAAGAGCAGCATGGAAACAATGTCTGCTACTGTGTCTTTTACAGAGGAAATATTCGTAAAAACGAAGTCCTCATCCAGATACTCTATAATCGAAAACACGGAAGCACTTCAAAAATGCTTTGAAAAGGCAGAAGCATTTTTGTTTAACCTTGACACAAGAATGTGTGAAAACATCTGTGCAGTTTCAAATTGAATTCTGCAAGGTTAACCTTTCTGCTGCACAGGTTTTGTACTGTAAAACGATAAAAATGTGATAGCATTCCACGATAAGAAATAATTTGACTCCTGAATAGTTCAGTCAAGTATACCTCTTATCGGATTGCCATGAACGAGAGGTAATTATGAGATTAGTTGACAGGCAGGATGCTGCTGTGGGTTTTATTTCCGTCTCTCTCTCTCTCTTGAATAAATAACAGGCATCATATCTACTTCTTGAAAAAAATTAAAGATATTAAATATCGTTATCTACGTCTTAACGATAAATTTTATAAAAACTTCGCATTTCCAACAGATGACTCTTAATGCACCATTACTTTGGGGGAATTATATGAGATATATGTAAATTGGCACGAAATTACCCCATTACATCGAATTTGTTTAAAATGCTTCTTAATCTGACGGGGATTCGCAAAACTGTATAAGCTCATGTGTTGATTAATTTCGATTGCATGTTTGTCTACTAATGTGGTTTTGACAATCCCCTCCTCCATTCAATTATTTCTGATTCATATTAATTAGCTTGTTATAAATGAAAAAAAAAACAACAAAAAACCTAGAGACAGATGCGTTTTGGTTGCCAGAATTTGATAACATCTATTTCTGTATTCATGTGTGTTTGAGGATAAACATAGGAAAATGTTTTATAGAATGCTTTGCTTCAGACCTCTTAATTTATTTAAGATATTACCTTTATAGAAAGTAGCTATTAAACTCGGAAAAATTAGATATAATCCTTATAATAGGGAATGCTTACTCCTCCTAAGCACCTAATCCAACCTTTGGAGATTCCGGGGGTCTGTCGTTTTGCCTTGTTCTCATTTTGTATTGTTTAAAGAATTTTTGAGATCGTTCACTGTTCGTACGTCATCTTCACATTTTTCATATAAGCATTGATTTTTAAAAAAATATGGATTGTTGGTGCCGGGTCAACGAAATTTAAATTCACCAAAGGAAAAGAAACGATTTAAGAAGCCATTTTTTGTGAAAAGCAGGTTGTTTTTCCTTACCATTTTTTAGAATCCGCAACAATTTCGGCTGTAGAACCAAAATTAGATCCAGGTTTTCCATTAAAAATCAAAGGGTGTTCTGTATCGACATTAAAACATTTAACACGAGTAAACAAAATTGTAAGTACTTTAAACCACACAAAAACACTTCTTCCAGAACCTGGTTTTCGGAAGTAAGAGCACATAATCCAGTTTATTTTGAAATTCCTTAGAAACTGACGAATGGATGACCTCTCCAAGATAACGTTTAGATAAAATTCGGCTTAGAATCTGGAAATCTAGCTGCTTTAAACTGACTTTGAGATGAATGCATCTTTGATCTGCGTACACGTAGTAAAGCATGAGCTAATAACCGTAGTAGAGGGGGCACCCTTACATTGGGAAAATTGCTTTTGAGTTGAATCATGATTATTATGTTTTGTTGACGTATGTACAATGAAGACTCTCATAAGTATACATAGTAAAACTCAGCATAACGATACCAGGTTGTCATAAGTAGCGGTACTCGTCGAAACACTGCAAGCAATCCAGATACAAAGCGGATTTGTTATGGAAAAGTTCTTTGATATAAGAAGTTATAAAAACTGGGTATTAATTTTGTTCATTGAAATTTTAACACTCAAGAGATTTAATGTTTAAGCATCTCTAAGGTCTTTTGTTTTGCAAGAAATCTTCTTTCAACTCCCCCCACCTACCCCCACCCACCCCAACCGCATAGATACTGAATGGAGACAAGTTGAAATACTTATATATAAATAGGGATTTTATAAGATCTAGAAATAAACAAGTCACCCCCCCCCCCCCCCAAAGAAAAAAGAAAACAACTTGCAACTCTACCAAAAGAGTAATGAACTCGTATTTATATATCTCATAAGTCTACGTTTCTTAATTATTATTTAACCATCCTAAAACGGTATATTTTACATTATATTGTACATGCGACTTGTATATGCTCTTTGGGCGACAGAATACTTAAATAGTGGAGGAAAACACATCACTTAAAATATCAGAAAAAATTAATTGCTTCAGTAAATAAATGTTATCCATGTTTTAAAGAAATTGAAATGTATACATTTTTCTGCAATTAATGAATTAAAGTTGAACCACTCTTTCCCAGCATAAATACTTGTACTGTATGACACATGGGAGATAAATCTTGATGATTTTAAATGGCAAATCATGAGAGTTATCTCTCTTTAACGTCACGCACAGACTGCACTTAAACCTTGACACATTGTTGAGTGCTTTAAATTTTGCACATATTTCTCTTATTATAAAATTAGTAATGCACAAACATTTTATGAACTTCAAACTTAGTTATAGATAGATAATTAAGCACTGCATTTCTTACAGCTTCTTCTAAAAACTGTGTTAAGAAAAAAAATCCCGAGAAGCTCAAAATTAATCTGTACCAATGAATGCCAAAAATATGCCAAATATGCAAGAATCCTTAAAAAGCAGACTTTCCTGTACAATTTGTTTAAAGGCAAATTTCTAACTATAAATTCATGATTATATGTTGCAAGCAATACCTGCATATTCACAGTAGCTATGTTAAAGAAACCAAAGACATTTTTATACATCTATACTTATAAATTAATAAATTTTGCAAATAAACTCCGAAACGGGTGTACCAGAGTTCTTACATGTACTTACTCCTCTAAGAATACACATGATACAAGATGATGTCCGTAAACTATATTTAGATTTCACTTGCATCGTAAGTATCGCACATTAAATTAAAAGTCTACTTTTATTTTCTATAAACAGCCATGAAATAGCAAAAACGTGAGTACGGTGGCGTTTCCGGTTGGCGGATCTAAGTTACTGGCAATTTTTAATGAAACTGGCAACAAGCAATCGTTTATTTATTTCATTAAACGTCATTACTGAATTATTCAATCAAAACTTGATTTAAATGGTATTAAAGAAATAAGTTGTGATAACCGATTAAAAAGGAAAATGTGCAAATTATTTTTGTCGTTCACCGATCGTAATATTGACGGAAGCTTCTAGAACATCATATTGCATCGAGCCCGATGTTAAAAAGAAAATAGCTGCTTTAACATAAAAAAAACAAAAAAAAAACAAAAAAACTTTTGTGTGAATGGTCATTGAAATAATGGTAAATCATTGATAACACTGTAAGTTGTGAATATATTTATACATCGAAAGACTATAATTACATATATTTAGTGGGTTTTCCTAATAAATTTATCAGTAAAATTTGTATATATTCCTCACTGAGAGCATCGTGGCAACGAACCCGAAGTACAATTTGGACTTAATTCGTAATAAACCTGTTTACATGAAAAGAGAAAATTAATGAACAAGGCATTGTTCAAAAACAATTATGCTGTAAAATTTTGTACTTTTGTACTTTAATCAATACATTTCAGGTTTTTTTTTTCTGAAAACAGTCTTTTGTATCAAATACTCGGCCTATTCCAGTGGCGGATCTAGGAATTTTGAAAAGGGGGGGGGGGCAGTTTGGGGTTGGGGTAGGGGCCCACAGACACAGATTTATTAAATTTTATGTGTATTTTGGACACAAAATGGGAGGGGGGCTGGGCCCCCCCTCTAAATCCGCCAATGCATTCATAGGGCGTTATATAAAAGCTAATTTTTACACATGTACTTGGGTCTTAGATTATAAATATGTATGTACCTTAATGATATGTAAAAAAAAAAAGAAAAAGAGGTAAGGTATATGTACAGTTTTTACATATCAATAAGGTACATACATAATTATTCATAAACGAAGACCCAAGTACCTGTGAATTTTTACCAAAAAAAAAATCAATTTCTCAGTAAAATGTGCATTTTTTGACTGAAATGAAATAAGAGTATCTGAAGTACAATATCCATAACGAAGTATATACAATATCCATAACAAAGTATATAACAGGTTTCACAATAAACGTCAATTAATGAAATTGTTATTTAAGTTTTACAATGGGGGGTGGGGGTTGAGACGTACTTCTACTTCATGCGAGATTTTGAACAAAGTATTTCTTCCTGCTATAAGCCTGTAGGCTGTCAGTAGAAACTACAATATATATATTAATGGATTTTTTCTGTCGGTAGTGGTATAAATTCAATTCCCCGCGCTTGCGCGGGATTTCATCTAGTGTATGTTAAAAACTAATTTTGCATGTCTTTAAAATATTTTGAGATGCAAAAACATCATTTATATATAGAATTTATAAGGTCAGATACACAGATTCAACTTCTTTTTTATCAGATACAAATAAGGACAAAGAAGAAAAATGTTTCCGCAAACTGATTTTAAATGTTGATTATTACAGTTAACATCCTGTGGATCAGTTAAACAAGCGTGCAGTCCATTCTCTATCCAGAGTTGTCGTCTCGCTACGCTCCCACATACAGTGAGCGTATAGCGGAAGATGATAACTCTGGATAGAGAATGGCCTTCAGTCGCTTAGTGGCACTTAACATAACTTCCGCCCCCAGACAATAGTCCGGTTTACTTTTTGTATTGATTTAAAAAAAAAAAATCAATTTCAATTTCTTGACAATATGGATAACATGATCTGTGCAATCTTCACCCCCCCCCCGTTAAGTTTGTCTATTTGCCTTTAATTAATTGTGTAAGGATTTTATCTCTTAAAGTTTTACTTAAATAAAGCCCTGAATATCTTTCTCCTTCGTCCTTTTACTAGGATTTCCCCAATGTCATCAGATACACCACCCCCCTCCCCCTGTTCACGATTCGTTTTTGTTTACCGGACTTATGAGATTGAGCTCCGTTCATTATCTTCTCCTTTTCTCATTTAATCTCTTGATAAGAGTATTTTATATCAAACCATTTTTGTTTCAAATTGTAAATACTTAAAAATTTAATTACTTTTATTTTATATAATCTACTTTTCTACATCTCGAAGAAACTATTTAATGATATTACATCCTTTTAAAAACCTAAACGGAAGTGGACATTGTAAATTTGCTTTGTTTCGATTGAAAGCAAACAAGAAAGCAAGAGGATTTTGAGAGTTTACTATTACCAGAGGCCTAATTGCTTCCCTTTTCTAAATTCGTTTTATTTTACCAATTTAATGTTTATACAAGTTGTACATACATATGTACATTGAATGATTGCAGTTTCTTTAATATCACGTTTACAATATATAATGTCGTTCCCTAATTATTGAATTAAAAGAATTTCATATAGTAAGTACTCGAATACGAGTACACAAATTAAAATTGAACAATTTCCAAAACTGGTTACAGTGTTAAAACATAAAAGGTTTTGTTTATAGTGTATCGCCGATCATAGATAAAAATGCATCTTTCTCTACCCTTTTAGAATAAAATAAATTTATCCGCACACATACATGTATACACCAGAGAGAGAGAGAGAGAGAGAGAGAGAGAGAGAAATGAAAATATATTCATTGTCATTTATTTGTTTATACTGCTTAATGACATCGGGAAAATGATATCATTTTTATTAATGACATATTTTCCGGTGATGAGAAGCTTTTAGCTATATGCTTGTTAAAGAAAGTGTTCAGTGTGTAAGACTAGCTCTATATTAACCACACAATGGTTGTTATTTCGACTAAAAGCAACTTTCCGGTTGAAAGTGTGCCCCTGCTACAAGTACGTGTATACATGTACGACCTCGCTGCCTATCTTTAAGTACATGTCATAGTAAAGTTTTAGATCAATTTATTTTGCAAATTTACTTAACGTCATGTCGTTGTACTCGTAAAGAAAACAAGAATGGAGTGGATAATACGCGTTGATTTCGCAGGGCTATTTCCATGGAAAGGATTTTCCGTCTGGATTATACGGGTACTGTGGTTTGCGTTAGTGCGTAGGAACGCCTGTTATAATGTAGACACAGAACAACCGTTGATTTTTGTTGGAAAATCTGATTCTTATTTTGGAACAACTGCTGAAATTGTTGCCGATTCCCAAAAATGGTAAGAAGATCACATGAAAATGCAGCGTTTTATACTGCAGACTTATAATCCATTGATCACTACAGTACAAGCAGTGTTATTTCATTTCTTAGACAGAACAATTGATAATTCACAGAAATCTGTATGGATCAATAATTATTACGTTCATGGTATGCATATTTCTGAATAAATTGTCGATTTCTCGTGAAACTGGGCAATAACTTCCAAATTCTCTGACTTTTACCCCCTCCCCAATTTTTTATTTTAATGCAACGTGCCCAGAGAATCGAAACGCATGATGATTAATGATCTCTCTCTCTCTCTCTCTCTCTCAGAAAGAAAAAAATTAAGAAAATTAAAAAAAAAGATTCCTTGTTAAGTAATAAACCGATGATTTATCCACTGTATTCGTAATGTTTTGTTTGTTTGTTTTTTTTTGTTTGCCTTCAGGTGCGTGTAAGAACTGTTGATATACTTCTACACTGTAGCATGTGTACTATTCATTTGAAATTTCTCGTGTTTAACCTTAAACACATGTACGCGTATACTTATATTTCAAGGTGAACAATCAATTCTGCATATATACACTGCACAAGGTTGTCGGCCATCTTTCTGCTGATGATTTTTGCTTAGCATTCTACAATCTAAACATCCTCGATGTTTGTCAGTTAAAACAAGGTTCCGGTAAAGAATATCCAAATTAAATCCCTTATCTCACATAATATTACATGTTGAATATCTGATAAGTGTGAGCAGCGGAAGTATATAAGAGTTAAGCATGAAATTCCGGAAGGTTTTGGGGTGTGCTCTCTTTAATTTATATGGTAAGTATCGAACAAAATATATGCATGAGAGTGTTTATTATATAAAGTATGTTGTAAATAGTTTTTAATTACGGTCAAACCTCGTTATCTCGAACTCAATGGGACCAAGAAAAAACTTCGAGATATCCGGTCTTCGAAATATCCAGGGTAAAATACTTAAAGAATAAAGGGTTGGGACTTCCAAATCACTTCGACATATCAATAATATTCGATATACACGTGTATCAGTGTTCGAGATATCGAAGTTCAACTGTATATGTTGGAAGGTGAAATTTAATTCCAGTTAGTTTAAATATTATTTTTCTGACCTATAATGTATACATAGCGGGGATAGGCCCGGGTCATTACAATACTTTTCCTGAAAGACCAAACGTAGATATCACCAGGAAAATCAAATTAAGACTTGCATATTATCAAATATCGTAGATTTTGTTACATGTAAAAGAATTGTTCAGTCATATCGGTTTACACCTTATGCATGAATACATGTTATTAAACAAGTTTTCTGGTTTTTTTTTTTTTTACCTTTAATCACCATTTAATAGCAGTCCTTGCACCTACATACCAAATCAATTATTGAATAGCAGTAAACGTATTTGGAGCCAAATATTATATCAGTTGTTAAACAATAGGTCCAAGGGCCTTAACGGTCACCTGAGTATAATACAACAAACTGATAGATGAAGCTTTTTTGCCAAAAAGCAAGATAAAAGAATTAACGAAATTATTAGTCTAGTATACAATAACAACTCTTAATTTAAAATCTAATCCCCCCATGTATATGTATCACTATCACCATGCAAATTATAAAAGATTATCAGTGCTTCTGTACTATTTTTAACCTCTCACATTTGACTATCTTGGTCTTTGAGGAACATTTAATACGATGTTTATTTTTGTTTCATTTTTATTTATCTATTAATTACAAGTCTACCTTTGAAATTACTTTTTGTGTTATAAAATAAAAATTCTTTCATAATTCTCTTATTCTATTAACCTTTCAAATATATTATTTACAGTGATTAATTATCAAAAGTGAATGGCAAAGAGAAACAACTTCTCTAAGTACATGTAGAATACAAATTATTAGAGTCCTGGCCAGGACCAGAACACTTGACCAAATTGTCCAGATGTTCAAAATTCTGGTAAAAATACCTTTGCTTATTAAAACTTTCACTCTTTTTCAAAGAAATCATGCATTTTCACTACAGATTCAACACAGCCCTACCCTAAGACCAGAACCCATAACCCAGGATCATGAAATTCACAAATTTAGAAGAGGTACCCTAATCATCGACACATTTTCAAAATATTATCAATAGAGTCCCCCCCTCCTCGAAAAACACATGAACCTCTGACCCTGGGACCACAAGTTTTAAAAATTTTGTAAGAAGCACCCTTGTTCATCATAACTATGCACTTTGTTTATCTGTTCATTACTACATTTAAGGAGCAGACAGGGTTATTTAATAGAATTAATGCATTTTCATTATATTATTATTAAAAGAGCACCACCCTTATACCAGAACATCTGACCCAGGAGCCATGAAACTCACAATTCTGGAAGAAACTCATTATAACTATACACTTAATTTCTTTGCTTTGTAAACTGGAACAGAAAAGAATATTTCCAAAGAAATTATGCTTTTTCACTATATTATCAATAGAACCCTCCCCTTTAACCAGAACCCCCAATCCCGGGGCCATGAATTTCACAATTTTTGAAGAGGCATCCTTGCTTATCATAACCATGCACTTAGTTTTTTAAATAAAACCCAGGAGCAGAGAAGGAGATTTTCAAACAATTAATGCATTTTCACCATATAATCAATAGAGCCCTGCCCTAACACCAAAATCTCTGACCCAAGGGCCATCAGTTTCACAGTTTGGAATAGACAACCTTGCTCATATCTTTTTACTTAGTTAGTATGTCAAATACCCAGGAGCAGAGAAGAAGATTTTCAAAGAATTAATTCATTTTCACTATATAATCAACAGAGCCCAGCCCTAACACCAGAACCCCTGACCCAGGGGTCATTGTGTTTTCAAAATTTTGGAAGAGGCACCCTTGCTCATTATAACTATGTATTTAGTCAGTCTCTTTAATACCCAGGAGCAGAGAAGGAGATTTTCAAAGAATTAATAATTTTTCACTATATAAGCAATAGAGTCCCGCCCTAACATCTGAACCTCTGACCCAGGGGCCATGAAATTCACAATTTGGGAAGAGGCACTCTTGCTCATCATAACTATATATTTAGTTAGTTTGTTTAATACACCGGAGAAGAGAAGAAGATTTTCAAAGAAATAATGCGCTTTCCCTATATGATCTATATAGCCCCCTCTCGCACCACAACCCCTGACCCTGGAGCCATGAATTTCACAATTTTGTGCTTATTACAATCATACCAACAGTTTGACAGCATAATGTCTATGAATAAAGGAGAAGATTTTTGCAAATTGCATTATAATTCCTGGTGGTTTTAGCCCCACTCCTCAGGACCTAAGAGCTGGGCCAAGGGCCATGAAATTTACAATTTTTGTTTCGATTTACCCATAGATGCTATATGCCTAAATTGGTTGAAACTGGTTCAGCGTTTTCAGAGAAGAAGCTGAAAATGTTCAAACGCTAACGGACGACGCACGACGACTGACAAAAACGGATAGCAACAGGTCACATAAGTGTCTCAGGTGACCTAGAGTGCATGTACACTATCAAAATGTTATATCGGAGGGGGAAAATAAATTACAGAGTATTTGCTCATTGTACAGAAATCCCCATATATTAATTAACCTAGGCGATTCCACAATAAGTCACACACTTTCTTAAAGTTGAATTCAAATCCGTCCAAAATTTCAGAATCTTTGCAAGCCAAGGGTTTTTAGTCCACTACGCTACCTACAAAGCAAAAACCCTTTGCTTGAGAACATACATTTTCTGAAGAGAGATAAACATTCAAACACGGGTTTAAATGTGCATTCTTATCAATGCCAACTTCGACTACGGAAGTATTTTAACGAAAGGGGTAAAGTATTTTGAATGAAATGCGTATGTTACGATAAATCTCTTTGATCTATAGGTGCTTGAGGTTTCAACTCTTTCTTATTAAAAAAGGTATGGGGTTAATTTTTTTAATAAGAAAAAATATATACAAGTACGTCAAGTGCATGTACTTAGATCATCAGCTATGATCTGTATACTTGAAGGGAATTTAGATTAATTTTCGGTTTTAGACTAGGACTCCCTATCCACTCCAATGTATCGTTCTTAGTACGTATATGTACTATACTTCCACTTGTCGTAAACTTTTCACATTTTCATCTTTTTTCTCCAGAACAACTGGGCCAATTTCAACCAAAATTGGCACACAGTGTCCTTGGGTTAAGGGAATTCAAATTTGTTCAAATGAAAGGCCACATCCTCTTTCTAGGTAGCTAATTATGAAATAATAAAAATTGGATGAGATTATTTAAATAATATTCTTCTCAACGACCACTGGGCCAAAAAATAAACTTATGAGAAAGCTTCCTGACATAGTGTAGATTCAGGTTTGTTCAAATCATGACCCCTGGGGGCAGGGTGGGGCCACTATAGGCGATCAAAGTTTTACATACAAATACTTAGGATTTTGTTTTTTAAATTCTTCTTTTCAATAACAGCAAGGACATGATTATTCATATGAAGTTGAAAGAATCCTCAAATAGTGTAGAACTAATTTTGTCCAAATTATTACCCCCAGGGGTAGATTGGGGCCACCATGGGCGATCAAAGTTTTACATAGGAATACATGGAGGACGTACTTAAAATTCCTCTTCTCAATATCAGCAAGGTCATGATTAGTCATATGTAGTTGGGAGTATATATCCTTAAGTAGTGTAGATACAGCTTTGCTTAAATCATGACCCCAGGCCCGGGGATAGAGTGGGACCACAATTTTCACATAGGAAAAATCTTAAGAATTCTTCTTTTCAATAACAGCAAGGTCATGATTAGTCATATTTAGCTGGAAGCATCCTCAGGTAGTGTAGATTCAAGTTTGTCCAAATCATAACCCCTGGGGATAGGGAGGGGGCCACTACAAAAGTTTTACATGAGAAAAAAAGGAAACATCTTTAAAAATCTGCTTATGAAGAACAGCAAAGCCATGAACAGTCATGTTTATATGAAAGCATTCATAGACCTGTAATTTAGATTCAGGTTTGTTCAATCCCGATCCACGCTGGAGTGGTGGGGCCACTATATTTAATCGAAGTATTACATGGGTATAAATAGGAAAAATCATAAAAATTCTTCTTTTCAAGAACAGCAAAATCAGGATTAGACAATTTTTTATGGAAGTATCCTCAGGTAGAGTCCAAATCATGACCCCCTAGGGTACATGTAGGGTGGGCCCACTATTGGTGATCAAAATTTTTACATGGGATTACATACAATTCGGAAAAAAATCTTTAAAATTCTTCTTTCCAACAACAGCAATGTTATGATTAAACATATTTATATGGAAGCATCCTTAAGTAGTGTAGATTTAATTTTGTTCAAACCATGACCCCGGAGGGTTGGATGGGGCTACTATTGGCGACCAAACATTTTCGTAGGAATACATGGGGAAAATCTTTAATTTCTTTTCTCAAGAACAGCAAAGCCATGATTAGTTATATTTATACCAAAGCATCATCAGGTAGTGTAGTTTCTAATTTGTTCAAATCATGACCACAAGGGTAGGATGGGGGCACAAAGGCCATACAAATTTAACATAAGAATATACATGTACATGTATATGAAAATTATATAAAGTCTTCTTATTCTTCAGTATAGCAAAGAAATTATTAGTAATATATATGGAAGCTTCCTAAGATTCAAGTTTGTTCAAATCATGACAGTTGAGGGTATGGTGGGGCTAAAAGTAGGGCCAGTTAATGACATATTATTTTAATTTTACATCATTGTGAAAAGAATCTGCTGATAAAGAACAGGAAGGCTATAGTTACTCAGGTGAGCGTTGTGGCCCATTGGTCTCTTGTGATGCATACGCATTTAATACGTAACATACGTATACGATATTCGTATATTTCAGGATTCTCGTTGGTGCAACAAAAGACAATTTCACCGAAAGACCAGAGATCCCATTTCCTGGCAATGTGTACGCATGCCCAGTTGATTTTCTTAACGTCGAATCAAATTGCACAGTTCTACCCAATTTAAGAACACCAGGTACGTAATAAATTTCTATTCTGTAGAAGGTGAGTTTTCTCCTATCAATTTTTTGTGAAAGGAATCTGCTCACTGAAAAGGGTTTTCCCCTAATTATGACAGTAATCTAGGGGGGGGGGGGTATAAAAGTGATTTTCAAGCAAATTTAGTATACAATAGTGGTGAGGGTTTAGGGGGGGGGGGGCAAATCAATTTATTAGAATAAAGTTAATTTAGAATTGAAACATACCAAATCATTAATAACTTTATTAGTAAATTCTCCAGCAAATGACCTTTCTTTTTGAAGGGGGACAAGACTTAATATCACATGATGGAATTTTGAACGAAGGTTCAAATGTCTCTTCAGAGGTTCAATGTCTCTTATTTATGGAAGATTATACCCAAGATACCGATCGCAATTAAATAACTTCAAACGTTGAGTAACATAGTTAGGGCAACATGACAATCAGATTTTTCCAACAAAACGCAAAGTATTTCAATTTCAAATAGTTAAATTGCTACGGAAAGCATTGTTTACTAACATGGAGTGTTTTTTCCTCTCCTTTAGAACTTGGTATGTTTTAGAGAGTTGATACTCCTTGTACAAAACCCATGACAACAAACAAAACAAAACAAAAACAAAAACAAAACCACAAAAAAAAAAAAAAACAAAAAAAACAAAAAAACAAAAAAAAAAAAAACAAAAAAAAAAAAACAAAAAAAAAAACAATGCATTTCCTAAACATTTATTTAATTGCGAGTTCTCTCTGAATAAAGGCTATTAAATCTTTTCATGTTTTACAAACGTTTTTATCAGTTAAATATTTAAGGCCACATGGTTATAGCTGTGATCTAAGTCGTCGTAAGGGACTCTGGTATATTAAACCAAGTGCAAAATAAATATTAAATAAATAAATAAATAGATATTGAAGATGTTGTTTTAAGGCAACTTAATACCCAGCCTCCACTCCCCAATTATACTGTATGACATTGACAAAAAAGAAATTAAATTTAAATTAAAATTGGACCTTCAGACATCATCAACAACATGCCCAGTTTTGAATTCAAGGTTTTCAAAGTTATGCCTGAGAAAATTTCACTTCCTTAAAGCTGGTGTCCTCGAAAATTAGGAAATCCCCTGATTCAAAACCAAAACAAATTTTAAACCTAAAGATCATAGGCTACAACTTACAAATGAGTGAAAGATGAAAGCCAGCTCGAAAAAAATTCACTTTGGCATTAGTAATAAGTAACGAGATAACCTGGATCAAGATAACAGACAAAAAAAAATTCTTTTGATTTTCTTCTAAAATGTTGGTCTGATTTCAATAAGATTTGGAACACAAGTACATGTAAATTATAAAAAGATGCATAATTACGTGTTTCTTTTTCTTTATTTTGATTTTGACGAAGGGTGTTGCCAAGGTTACTAAAAATTGAAGTTTCTATGAAATTCTTTCAAAATGCTACTCATTCTACAGTATTGGTCCGATTTTAATGAGACTTAGTACACAAGTTTTACATAATTTTGTGCATCGGTTTTTGATTTCGACAAACGGTATTGCTTTGGTTACGAATTCTTATTTTTGTAAAATTCTGTCAAATTTGAAACACTACACCTTGAGTTTTGGTCTGATTCCAATACTAGAGTATATGACTTAGTACACATGTAGGTTATGCTAAATACGTTCTTAAACCACTCATTTCTCCACGAAAACTACCTACTAGTAGATACAAAATAAGACTTTGATTGGGATACAAAGACTTCCGGTTGGGGTTATAAATGTAGGATAAATCCAGAGACCTCCGAGTATTCCTTTCCGAGGTCTCTGGTTTTATCCTTCATTTATAACCCCAACTGGAAGTCTTTGTATCCCATTCAAAGTCTTATTTTGTATTGAGGTAATTTTCGAGGAAGAAATGAGTGGTTTACAATAAAGAGGCTCAACCAGAGACGGCGGAAACGATTAATTTGACAATGAAAAAGTCTTTCGAAGCGAACGATGTCATTTTAAAGTAGGTTATGATTGATAAATTAACTAAATACGAGCTTGAAGCGGGGGTGCCTGAAAAGGTACCTTGTGGTAAAAATAACGCAAATGCTTGTGTTTCAAACCAAATTTCTTTTGAAGGGGAAATTCTTTTTTTTATTGCTTTCACTTTCAAGAGTTTGAATACAAAAAGAATTTTTTCTCATAAACATATCTTTGGATTATAGAAACTAATGCTAATGAATCAGCTGGCGTTTTTGAAGAAGCAGATCAAATGTTGGGGGCCAGTATAATTGTCCCGGAGGATTCGACGAAACCTATCAAGGTAAAAAAAAAAAAATGAATATACATGTAACTGTAGATTGCATTTTGAAACATCTTGAATTGAAAAAAAAAATCATAGAATTATCTTGTCATTTTTATGTGTGTTGTTTTACAGATTTGTGCCCCAAACTGGAAGAATTTGCGTTTCTTTAAACCAGGTGATGACAACTCGTACCAAGTGACCGGAAATTGTTTTGTTTTGAATGACAGATCAGATCTAATAAACACCGCCAAGATCCACAGATTCCGGATACCTCAGGATGACCTTGATTTCTACAAAGCACCTCTTATAGGGTTTTCCATTTCCGACACAAAGGTGACTATATTTTATTATACTTTCATGTTAAATACTAAAATCTGATTGGTTTAGACGCATTTAACAATTTGAAATGTTACCCTCAGCATTAGGAACTCATACGCGTACGGTTGGCCGTAGAATTCTGCATGAAAACGTCAATTGTCAAGCCGAATAAACTTGACGTCAATCAAACCTTGCATCCCATATAGGTTGATTGAAAACAACAAACTACAGAAAAATGCTTGCGAGTGCAGAAATATGGAAACTTTAGATGATAAAGGACTCTCTGAACTCGTATCAAATAAACAACAAGAAAACATTGATGTAACCATCAATTGTCGCCCGGGAAATAAATAAAGTAAACAATGGAAATGAGTCTTGATCATCAAACCGCTTCGATATGTGTGAAAAAGGCATGCGTCTAAATGATGGAGACGATAGTAGAGAATATTTTGAAAACTTATAGTCGGATGAAAATCGAACAAAAACGATACCCTTTTAAACTTTATCAATTCCTCAAGTAAATGTTGGCTACATAAAATATAATTTGAAACCAGACACATGCATCACCTATTTTCAAAAATGTCTTTCACTTTAAGATTATAAAACACGAACTGTGTAAAGTACGTTTTTACGTTTTTATGCGATAAGTAAAATTCGATGCTCTAAAAAAAGGGACCTGTCGTTTTTTCGATGGTAAATGATAAGCAACTTTATATATTAAATATGAAAAACATATATATTTTTACAGATTCATTTTATGGAAGTAAATAAATTGTGTATCTCGTAATTTATAAAGGGAAAGAACATTCTGATTAACAATCTTTTTAATGTTTAGAAAACCTTTAATTCTGAATAACTTCTCCCACCTCAATCCCCATATACCAACACTTAAACTTATATGTATAGAGCAGCCCGGTCCTCCGGGCTGCAATATAGAGAGGTCGGTAAATCTTTTTTGAAGCTTTCTTATTGAGAAAAACAGTAGTGGGGAGTTTGAAAGCTTTCTAAACATGAACTTTACGACGATCTCCGAAATTTTTTTGCTGACAACCTGACGCGTCGGTTGACAATGGTTTTCCTTGCCAGTTTGGGTGTCAATTTCAACTGTTACCCTCAAAAACATGCACTATTTATATAGATTAGTACTATTTATGGTACATATACACGTATGTAACCAACTTACCATATTTGGTACCCTATTTTGATGCAAAAATCATAGGCGCTTGGGTCAAGGATAATGTATATTTTCTATATAATGTATTGTCGAGGAAATTCGAACTATATTCGTAACTTTTTTAAGCGCACAGTGGTTATTTTTAGTTTTTTGTAAATCTTTCTGCTTGATATACACTAGAGTGTCACAGAAATATGATATTATACAAGTTTTAAGAATGACGTATCCCAACTGTATACAGTTGGGATATGTCATTCTTAAAACTTGTATACACTTCAGTGTATATCAAGCAGAAAGATTTACAAAAAACTAAAAATTACCACTGTGCGCTTAAAAAAATGTTACATGTACGAATATAGTTCGAATTTCCTCGACAATACATTATATAGAAAATATATACATTATTATCTTTGACCCAAGCGCCTATGGCAAAAATAAATGGCACACAAATGTATTTTTTTTCTTCTTTGCCAAAAATCCCATCGAATTAAATTGTTTCTGATAATTATATTTAAATTCCCTATAGTTAGAGTATGATTTAGCCTTTTTTGCTGGCAGCCAGTAAATCATTCGGTGTTTGAAATCTCATTAATGGTGTCCTCTGCGTGCATTTCAGGACCTTTCGACATAAATTATTCAAATTTTCAGTTTCTTGAATTCACATCCTAAATAGCGCCGGAATATACTTGATATTAACATCGCCAACTATTTTCCTGCTAATCAGTAAAAAAAAAAAAAAATCTCAGGGAAAATAAAAAAATGCATGTTGTCGTCGACAATTTTTAGTTTTACATAGTATTAATATCAAAACATTGCATAAAATAACGTTTTCAGAAAGAAATTCCTATATCAATAGAAATTAAAACAGGTTTTAGACTGTCATTTTCATCATGTCATTCACGAGCCTGAATCAAAACATTATCTATAAAGCATGCAAGGCATACATATACATGTATGCACGATGTATCCTCTGATGATCAGAAAATATTTCTTGCTTACAGATACCAGTTTTTGACACCCTTTATGGCGCCCCTAATACTGGAAGGAGTTCCACAGGTAGGATGCAATTAGCCCTACTAATGTTATTTTAATCAAAATTCAAAACTCGTGGTCTCTATTGACCTATAATTTAAAGGTTTATGGTTAAACCAGTTTTGACCGAAAAGGCACTAAACAGAACATTGCTATAGTCTGTTTATGATTGATTGTATATTATTTAACGTCCCATTCGAGAATTTTTCACTCATATGAAGATGTTAATATATAACGATAAAAGGATTCACATTTAGACCTACATCAATACTCGGCACTCAGGGCCATTGGGGAGTGAGGGTTCTTTATCGTGCCAACGCCTACTGTGTCACGGGACTTCGGTTTCTAAGGTCTTAATTGTCCGAAAGACCCATGGCTTTCACTAAATTTTTGGCGAAGGAACAGTCACTACCTATATTTACATCTTAGGTTTGACGCGGCGTGCCGAACGAAAATCGAAACCAGGCCCTTCTATCACAAAGCGAACGCCCTACCACTAGGCTACCATGACCGGTCTAATCTGTTTATGAAAAAAAATGTATATTGTCTAACACAATAACATTTAAAATACGTACAATGTAAACATGTTAAATTTGTCCAAAAAGAAGGTTAATAGTGCACTATAATGAAAAAAAAGTAACAGTGATTCAGAAGTTGACGTAACCTGATTACTGTTCTGTTTATCAAGTCTCCACGTGCTAGTCCCTTCTTGTAGCTATACTTCCTCGGGTGTTATGATTTGCTGAACACTGAGAAATGAAAGTTTCCGTACACATTCATATGGTATAACAATGATAGGAGTCAATGGCAGTATGTTTTAAGAATGAGCCTTTTTTGTATATCTATTTGGGTGATAAAACAACAGTGGAGCATGCGATGATTTGTTTTCAAGGCGATATCGTAGATGCAATTTTCAAATTTCACAGGATGAAACTCTGCCATTCAGTTAACTGAAAGGTGACTGAAAGATTACTGAAATGTGACTGAATGACAGAGATCTGCAATTCAGTCACCTTTCCAGCCCTTTCAGTGACCATTCAGTTGACTGAAAGGTGTAACTTCATCCTGTTTTTATCACCTGACTCCCTCATCATCCTCATAAATATTAAAATATAGATACATAAACATTACTTTTATTTACGTTTTACCTTAAAGTTTCTATATATAAATAATTCTAGCTCTTGATCGGACCTGTATGACTTTTTTGTCCTTTTTCAACCATTCTTTCGAAAATGGATGGGGAGTTATTTCTTGGAAATCTTTGAGAGAATATATATATATTTTTTATACCTTTAGTATTTTTTCAGCTGCATAAATTCGATCTGAAGACCTTTGATCTAAATGCCATAGAAATGATGTTTTTGCAGGGGGTCTATTGGCAAAGAATGACGGGCTTATACCAAACGCAAGAAGTATGAAATTAGAAGTAGAGAGATCAAAGGTCATACAGGACACTTATTTAACTGGGTCACTATTTGGTAAGTATTCATAAATTCACACTCATGTACCATATTGTGAATAGATATATACTCTGATTGTACTAACTACTTTTGATATTAAATCCACTAATCATGATGGAAGTGGTAGAAAAAAGGGGATGACTTTGCGGTCATCAATGATATATTTGTAACATTTGTATCATAAGTAAACAATATTATGAATTTATTTCAAATAAATTTCATTGTGGATCACAATGCTATCCCTAAATAAAATATGTATCATTAATAAATATAATTTCTTATACTTAGTGGATATCTTATCATAGGGGTCTAAAATGGAGTATTGTGATATTGCGTGTATACACTAAAGCTATGTTATATCCATAGTGAATTTTATTCATACATGTATTATAATGGTTACTATATGTTCTCTATAATAAACCCATTCAGAATTGCCAGCGTATAATTATGTAATTTTTTTAACCTTTAACAAGCCCAAGTACAAGTATCCAACGGAAAAATTATTAATCTATACTTATGAATTTTTTAAGGATACAGTATCGCACCCGGTAATTTAGGAGGCGTTTCGACACAATCAAGATCTTTTTATTTTGTTGTTGGCGCTCCTGGATTCAGCAACAAGAATGGAGTTATTGGCGCTGTAAGTTATCAATTTTTAAATTCATAATTTGTTTTATCACACCTTTTCGCCGCCTTGGGAAATAGTTTTCTTTCTCGGGGAACCATAAATTTGCTATTTCTCTCCTACAGATTCCATAACTGTATACTATGACACCTCTGACGGAAGTTAATCATAAACCTTTAAAATTTTGTTAGCTATAAAAAAAAGTGTGTTATAGCTACGACCCTGTTAAAAGAAAAAAAAAACTCTCCTCGATTTGAAAGAGGAAAATACTAACTAACTATGAGGGCTGTCCAAAAATTTCGAAAAAAAAATTGTGTTTTTCCCCCCTCTTTTGAATGTTCCTAAATATGTTCTTTTTTGAAATGCTAAAATATTTGTTATGAAGATGAGAGATTACGTCAAACAAGCTTAGTTTAAATTGCTTGACTTTAATATAATTTTAGCTCTACTGGTCAGAGACCAGAAGAGCTTAGGCATTAGTAAGGTGTCCGTCGTCCGTCCATATGACATGTCTGTTTGTCTAGCTGTCTGTCTGTGTGTAAACATTTATTCAAAACACTTCTTCTCCTACAGTTTTAATTGGTCCAATTCCAGGCATGGTACACAAGTAGACTATACTTAGATACATAATTTTAAGTGTCTGTTTTTGATTTCTACAAACGGTGTTGCCATGGTTACCAAAAAATAGAAGTTTCTTTAACATTCTTTCAAAATGCTACTCCTCCTACAGTTTGGTCTCATTTGAATAAGACTTGGTTAACGAGTTAGATTATACTTAAGCACGGTATTCTAAGTATTGGTTTTGATTTTGACAAACGATGTTGCCATGGTTACAAAAATAGAATTTTTGTTGAATTTTTTTTCAAAACGCTACTCTTCCTACAGTTTTGGTCCAATTTCAATAAGATTTGGTACACAGCTACACCATACTAAGATACATAATTCTGTATATTGCTTTTTGATTTTTGACAAGCGACGTTGCCATGGTTAATAATACTAGACATTTCTGAGATTTTCTATCAAAACGGTACATATCTAATAGTTTTTGTTTTATTTCATTAAGACTTCGTACAATGTATACAAGTAGACTACACTAGGATACATTATTCTATGCATCAATTTTTTATTATGATAAACTGTGTTGCCATAGTTACTAAAAATAGAAATATCTGTCACAGTCTAATTACTCCTCCTAGAGCTTAAATCCAATTCCAGGAAGATTTGGTACACAAGTAGACATTACTTAGATGAAAAATTCTATTTATTGGTGTTTTGATTTAAACAATCTCTGTTGCCTTGTGTTAGTATAAAAAGGAATTTCTGTGAAATTCTTTCAAAGCATTACTCCTCGTACAGATTTGGTGGATTTCAATTCGACTTGTTACAGAAGTAGTCTATACTAACATATCTTAATATATCTTTCTTTATTATAAGTACACACCAGAAGAGCTACAGTCTCGTCAGAGACTTCTGGTTTAAAAAAAAACCGTCTTTAAAGGTCACAGATTTTTTTTTAATTTAAACATATTTTATTGAAACATAATCAATAGGATTGGACACAAGTTTTACCAGCTTAGAATTGTCCTCTCCAACACAAACAAAATGACATATACATATACACAAAGGTCACAGATAATACACACAGCCCAGGGTTAAAATGAAATAAACATCGTTATAAAGTTCTGAATTAAAATAATGATTTAAAAAAACTCGAGGGATAAGTAAAAACTGAAATCAATATAACAATCATGTAGTAAATACGACTGTTGTCATTTCCTGAGATCTTTAGTATCGTTTTTTTTTTAACAGAAAGAGGATATCAATAGATAAATCTGCAAGAGATACATGTACTTGTACTGTATGTCTTTAAAAATGCCACAAAAGTTTTCGTCTGGTATCCAAACGGAACAGAGTCCAATCATAAAATTATGTGTTAAAATGGTACAAACTGCGCCAGAGACAAAGAAATGATTTATTCAATAGAGGAACATATATATTTCAATAATTCACAATAGGTATAAACGATTTTTGACGGCTAGTACAATTATAGGGATCGAGATACTGTATGAAGTGGAATATTACTGTTTTTAGATGAAAATACGATATCCCTACTATGACGTTATTGTTGAATTAGAAATTCATATAATGAGTACACGACAATTAAGAAATTCATATAATGAGTACACGACATTATTATAAATCTAACTTAACGTCGGACTTGGACTTGCAGTCTGTTTATTTGAAATTTTTAAACAGACAACGTTTGTAAAATTTGTGTATTTTTTCTAATTTACTTAATTTTTCTTTATACGAGAGTTGTCCCAGAAATACGCGAACATTCTCAATATCTTTTGTTTCACTAATGCTATAAAGTTAAAAATTGGCAGACACTATAATCAGCATTTTTTGAATAATGCATAAAAATTTCAATAAAATATCTCTATAAATAATTTTTCTCTCTCGGGTAAACGAATCTCACAAAATATCTGTAGGCACAACACTGACGACGTCAAAACGCGGCTCGTGGCGTTTGTGAACTCATTTTGGAATCGTGCGTCTGATAAAATTCGTTTGAAGCATAAATTCGACACTGCATTTAATTTTCTTTTAGTTACCAAGTTATCCATCTCAGATATTAGCATTTCCAAAAGATCGCGGAATAAATTCTTTTAAAAGACAATTTCCCAACCTCGGTGATAATTTTACCTTACTGCTCGCATAGTTAAACGGCGGTCACCACGTTTGACGTCCAGCTTTTGACTTTTCAGTTCGTTGGTCGACCAAACGCTTCTTCCATCGAAGAACCAGTCAAGCCGTCCTCGAACCTCTTGAACTAGGTATAAATTCTGTGTCCGAGATATATATTTGCGTCGTTTCATCGTTTACATCTCTTTTCCCGTATGGACAGGAGTCATATCCCGCTCAAAGGTACTGCTTGATAATTTGGTACTCCGCAATTATCGCCCGACGTCACCATTTTTGACAATAGTAAAAGGTTTTGGCATCTAACGTCACATTTCTGTAACTTGTGGTGCCAAATTAATGAATTTTTTCACATGAGTACTCCAGACCATAGAGTTTTTATAGAGGTAATTTTTTTCACACGATATTTCCGTGCAACCTGGTTATAAAGAAAAATTCACTGACAATGCTATTTCTTAAAACTTAATGGTCGCCCGCGTGGCGCAGTGGTTAGAGTGTTTGCTCTAGAGTCGCGAAGTAAGGAGTTGATCCTTACGTCTCGGGTTAGAATCCCACTATGGGACGTGGAGACCGGTCCTTCGGATGAGACCGTATAAACCGAGGTCCCGTGTCGCAGTAGGTGCTGGCACGAAAAAGACTCCTCATTGCTCAATGGCCGTAAGTGCCGAGTATAGGACAAAATTTGCAGCTCTCTACCGGCAAGTGGTGGCGTCTCCATATGAGTGAAAAATTCTCGAGAGGGACGTTAAACAACAAACTCAAAAAAAAAAAAAAAAAAAAAAAAAAAAAAATGCCGTGCGCCGAGTGCCGATATTTGACATCCTTTAAATGCTTTTTTGCATGCATATGACATTATTACATTAAAATGTTTTGTCAAAATACTAAAAATTTCATTTACTAACACGATGCATAAAAATATTTAATTTGATCGAATAGTTTTTGAAATACTCAAAAAGTTAGCGTTTTTCTGGGACAACCTTTCTTATTAAGATAGTATGGTAAACACTAGGCAGTGAAAACATTATAAAGATAAAAACAGCGTGTGTCCATGAACGTTTTGGACAGCCATCGTATAAGTTTGTTAAACAACATTCATTTAATTTTACAATAACTGCAACCATTTTCAGATACCAGTAAGTTGAGAAATAAAATCAACCAATGACAGTAGAAATAAAGAAAACTGATAAAATGACATTGTAGAGAATAACAAATCAGACCCACAAAATTAGCATGGCGAACAAAAACAAAATTTACTAAAATTACAACGACAAAAATTTCACCCCAAGAATATAATTTTTACGACTATTGATCACAAACGTGTTTTAGGAACTTTGCCCATATTTGTAGCAGACTCGTTGACAATTATTTATTAATCTGCTTAATTTACTGTTTAGTAATTATTTGAAGGTACAAATTTGTTTTTCACCTAAGTTACTTTTACCTTGTGTACTTTAGTTTTCAGTGTTGCAATTCGGAACCTTTTCACAAGTCAAACAGATTGAAGGAATGCAGGTACTAATTCACATAGTTTTACTGAATTTAAATATTCAACAGATTATATTTATTTTATCATAAACATTCCCTTCTTGTTGGTTTTTACATCGACAAAAGGTTGGAGGTGGATTTGGTCAGACACTCTGTATTGCTGATGTAAATGGTGATAATAATGATGAGATCCTGGTCGCGGCACCAAATTGGTTTTCTGTGGGTGACCAAGGAAATCAAGTGACCTATGACGTCGGAGCCGTCTACGTATATTATGGCACTGGATCGTCTTCGGTAAGATTAAAATCAATTTCATATTTTAGTAACATAAAGATTTCTATACAACTTTTAAAATTGTTCTGATGAACAGATCGAATTTCGCTGAAGTGCTGTTTCTTAGCTTCAGTGCTACATGTATATCAAGCAGGTAAATCCAGTGGAGTTTCTATGAAAACGTTATTATATTCTAAATAACAAAGAGGATGTTGCAGAAATATGCAACTTCTTCCTTTACCGAAAAGGACATTTAGATAATTATCATGCATAAGAAGTTATCTCTGAATGTAGATACAGCTGCGTAGATGGTTCAAATTACAAGGCGTGTCTTTCTTTACAGGGACAAAACAAATACCTTTAATATCTATGCATTTTTTTTTCGAACATTACAACTGCATATAGGTGGAATTTATTCCCCTCATTTATACTGTTTAAGTTGCAATGCCTTAATATTGTACATGATTGAAAAGGAACTGTGGCACAATAAAACTTTAACAGTATTTCGAAAGATGTAGACATGCAATTAGCATGTGTCAATAAATAAAATTCTGTGCCTAACTACATTTGAGTCATTTTAATTAAGGAAACTTAAAAATGTATTACATAAAAAGTGAGCTTTAACTTCATATACCACACAATGTCAACTATGCCTCTTTGAAACAAAAATCGTTTTAAAAAATCCCTGCTTTTATAATAAATGTACATACACGTATATATGTATTTGATTCAGTTTCAAGGAGACAGTTAACTTTTTCAGAACAATGGGGATTCGCTTTTGAAAAACCACAAAAGTTGTCATATTCTCCTTGTGACTAATGATATCTTCATTCATGGTTAAATAAAAATATAGGTATGAGTTTTTCAAATATAAAATTTCATTGTGAGGTACATGTATAGTTATACAAAGCTTTATGATAAACGTGTTGACTACAACTTTTCAATCGTCAACTTTCCTTACGTATGTAGCAATATACCCTTATCACCTGCATACATGTTTATGTCTCTCAGTTGATTCAATATGCAAGAGCATGCTCTACGTATGAACAATTTCTAAAACGAGGCAATCTATTGACAAGTTGATGAAACAAGGAAATCAACAGTCTCGTTTGAAGTCATCATTTCGCAAGTTTAATGGTCGATACAGTGACCTTGTCAGCACATACAACCTACACGTTTTTCATACTGATTGTTAGGGCATTATTTATACATTGAACAGTCTACAGATTTTTTCGGGTTTTTTTCTTCCGGTCATGATAAGGAGCACACGGCGGGTGTGACCTGTCGGCAGAAGATGCTCACTCCTCTATGGCACCTGATCCCACTTCTAAATTTTGAGGTCCGTTTGTTTTCTCTGCTGAAAATTTGTATCGTTTCATTGGACTTTCGAAATAGAATACTGTTCGTTATCTTCTATTTCATACAATAGTAAGGAAAAACAAATGAACATTTTTTGTCTTTTACTTTAAAATTGTTATCTGGTATGAATTTGGGGAAAATCACAAAAAAGCAACACCTTCTTCTTGAAAAAAAAATATTACGACTGGGTACCTCCACTTGGATATTTTATCGGTACGAAAATTTCTCATAGATAATTGATGATACGCAACAAGAGAAACCTGGATAGTTTACAATATTTTAGCAGCGCCTAATTCATCGTTATAGATAATTGAAGACACAGCACAAGAGATACGTGGTTCCGTTGTACGATTTTCAAGATTCGGAACTGCAATTGCTAATATTGGAGATATAAACAAAGATGGATACAATGGTTTGTAAACAATCATTACTGGTATATGAATAATATTAAGTGAAAAATATCTACCTGTACATAATATTTATCAACTTTAATTCAAGAAGTTGTTTTTTTATATGCATTTGTTACTGTTGATTGTGAATAAGTAATAAAAGTTTCCAAAGTTTAATAAATACTGTTTTTTGTAAAACAAATCAGGTAAATTACAATGTAAAATGAACTCGGGTAATAGTCATTTTATCAGCCCTTGGGTAAGAACTGGTGCCCGACGGGGCTGATAAAAGGATTTTTGCCGTCATACCCATTTATTTACCGATAGGTATAATATATAGCCCTAAATTATGAATAAGTGTTGAACTTCATACTAGTGGCAGTTTACAGTCTGTACTTTATCAGTCGCCTTCTTTAATTTATTTACGAATACAAATATATACATTTTTTATGAAGTTTTTATTTTGTGCTTCTCAAGAGTATTTGGGCATCTTGAAAAATATGAGTTGTAGTATCAGAAAAAGGAAGATCCAAATATAATTTTAATATTTAAAAAAAAAAAAATAATTCAATAGTTTTAGAGAATTTGATATCTGATATCTGAGATTTCCAGAAATGATGACAGTATACGCAGCTAGTGGTATTTGAAAATTGTCACTTATGTAATTAAACTGTTGTAAAATACATATACAACATAAAAAGTTATGTGCTAAATAAGCCGCATGAAGATGACAGACACCCCTTTTAATGTTTATTTTTCTAGATATAGCTATTGGAGCACCATTTGAGAACACCAAGGGAGCTGTCTATATTTTCAATGGCGGAAGGACTAGATTAGAAGACGTTTACTCACAGAAAATAACAGGATCCAATATAAAGCCAGGTCTTCAAGGATTTGGATGGTATATATCAAGAACAGCAAAGGATTTAGATGACAATATGTATAATGGTAAACAATTAAGGAAAATAGGAAACACATTTTCCCGATTTGTAAAAAAATATGCATGTGTTGCAATCTTTTTTCTAATTATGTCTAGTGTTTAAGAGCAATAACTTCAGTCTACTTCTCATGTATAGATTCAAAAAATTCAATGACTAATTGTTTCTCATTTACGCTAACGGTCCTTTTATGTAAATTATAAATAAAAGTGACAATTTTTCATGAGCTTAAGGTATGTCACTCGTGAAATTTGTTATATCAAGGATTTTTTGAGAAGTATATTTTGGATAAGTACTCATATAGTATGACTCAAAATCGCAGAGAAAATGGGGGGTCAGTGTGCATCTAACTGAGCTACGGTACAATTAAGTTGACCTTTTTGCACTTTTAACTCTTTGGTTAATCACTTTAACCCTTATCATATTTTATCAGGTGTAACCATGGCAATAAATATAATCTTATTTTACGTAAAATAGTTTGAATAATATTTATCATTGAACAAATCTTGCAAATTAATGCGCGTAAATTATTGTGTGACCTTTTTGCACTAAAAAAGTAACATATTTGGAGTATTAAAAATCTAAATAGGCAATAAAATATTTTCTTGTATCAAACTTTTTACGACTTAAGTGCTGATCAGTCACAAGTATCGAGTAGTTTTAAATAATGTAAGAAAAAGTTGGGGTCAGTGATGTAAATTTTGAAATATTGGTCAAAATATGCGATTTTCAGGCCAAAAACGGTGTAAATTTTATCTTGACTTCTTTAATATATCTTCATTTCTCGGCAAAGTTTGTTGAGGAAAGGTGTAAAATTTGTTATAAAAATATAAATTAAGACCTATATTTAATATTCCTAGCATATCATAACGGAAAATATTCTCTGAGTAAAAGTATGTGAGGCTAAAGTTCCAAGACATTAAATTTAATAAATGTGCAGGTTTGCAGAATTTTCTGCTAAATATCCTTCCACCACAAGAAATAGTCCCTCATAAATCTTGGTTCTTTATAAATATTTGAGCAGTTTTTTTCATTGAATGTTGAACAAATTACATTGTTTCATTTAAATATGTTAGGAAAATTGAATTTAAATAAATAGTTTTGAAGTAAGAGGTTCTGCCTGAACTTTTCTAAAAAGCTTACGAGTGACATACCTTAAATGCTTTTTAAAATAACAACAAAAAATTCAGTGCTAAAAAATGTAAAATGTCAAACAATTTTTCAAATGGGTAAAGTCCTGTTTTATTCCATAGATTTCGTTGTTGGAGCATACAGGTCAGACACTGCTATATTATTGAGGACTAGAAATATTGTTGATGTCAACTGTGAAATTTCATACAAACCAGAACCAATCCCTCTGAACTCCAGTGGAACATTCTGCCATGCAGACAGTGATTTTAACCCTTGTTTCAATGTATCAGTTTGCTTCAATTTCACTGGAGAAGGAATTAACAATACGAGTAAGCAATCATTAATTCAGTACTAAAAATTTGATATGACACAATGTCAATGAAAGGAATTGTGAAATATTTTACTATGTTTCTAACATATAATGATAAAAAAAATATGAGGTTGTCCAAGACTATTTTGGGAAATTCATTGCTTTGTTGAAATGTGAAAAGATATAACGTAATCATTTAACTCTTCATATCCATATTTTTTAATTGAATACTATTGTGTTGTTTATTTTGACACTCAGACTTTGATCAATTACATTTACTATAAAACTGATTTTTGATAACCTTTGTACAACATGTATGCATATTGTGTTGGGCAAAACTTTGCACTGTTTAAAATTATCTACGAAACCATTTGCTATTTTTTCTTTAGAAATTGATTTTACTATTTCTATCGACGCAAATGAAACAAGAAAAAGGGCAGCAATGATAAATGGAAGTCACACAAATGAAGAAATAACTGTCCGTGACTTCACAATCTTTTCCTTTAAAACCAGTTGCTATTCCCTGCAACTCATGGTACCGGTATGTTCTTTGTATAATTGTAGAAGTTGTTTACAATTTACTTCTTTGAGGGAATTTAGATACTGTAAGTCGTTTTAATTCCATGGTGTTAAAATTTCACGATTTTGCAAAAAGCACCAATCGCGATGGTTTAAATTTCACGCTGCAAGAAATTAATTTAAATTTCGTATAAGCATTTTAAAAACTAATGTAGCATTCACGACGGGTTTAATTTCGGGGGAAAATGATGAATCGGGAACAGAGGGAAATTAAGACCATCGTGATTATTTACCAATCTACAGTAACAAGATTATAGACAAAAGCTTATGATTTCAATGTTTATATTACTTTACGTGTTACATGTACTGTTTGTATGAAATCTTGTAATGATAAGGTAATATCAATTTATTTCAGACCATCGATAGGAGGTTTTTCCAAATCATTGATAGACCAATTTCCCTCAGAGTTGATTATACAATAAGCAACACTACTAATCCCCGGACGGTAAAAGCCATTTTGAAAAGGGATGTAACTCCAACATTCTTTGGTCAGGTATTTCAAAACCAAATTTAATAGCCAAAAAAAAAAAAAAAAAAAAAAAAAAAAAATCAGTATTGTTCTAATATCTATAAATATAAATTATTTTTAGAGTATAGGAAGTTTATTGACATAAAAGATGGTAAATTCATAAATACATGCATTGTCAATTTGTTTTCAATATAATTTCCTTACTCACTGTGAAATGATTCACACACACCAATGCTAAGTACATGTACATAATCTCTTCGAATGAATAAATTTTTGGCTTAAACTTGGTACTTAAAAACAAGTAATATTACATACTTACAGGAAACTGTACATTTCTTGTAAGGATACTTATGTATAAACCAATGAAACATCTTTACGTATGTTTTTATTCTTGTTTTTTTTGTTTTTGTTTTTTTGTTTTTGATATATGATTCATGAGATTTCGACTAATTTTAAGATTTCGTTTTACATATGCATGCTGTGTATGTCTTGCTCAGACGGTACTTTTTAAAATTAAAAACTTAAGAAGATCATACTTGAACTTTCTTGTTTTTATTATTTTAAAAAGAATTAAGTTGTTTTCTCATAATTTGTGAAAAAAAAAAATGGTGTCATCTATCCTTAAGCAAAATCAATATCACAGGGTAAAAAATTAACCTTCCAGTGAAAACTTTGAATCATTCACAGTTTACACTTAACACAACCGTTACTTTGAATAGTACTAGCGTATCCTGGCTCAAAACTAGCTTAATTTATTAAAATTAAAGCCACAGGTAATGTAACATTCTGTTTCATGAGTAGAAACATGAGAAAAAAAGGTTTGGAAATTTTCATCATGAAAAAGTTTAACGACAAACCAGCCAATTGTTTTTCAACTAGATAAAAAGTACATTACTTTGCACAACAATGGCTTTTGTAAGATGGAAGAGTTCGTTTTACTCTTTGTGAATGTATACCTTTTTCCTATGTTGCCTTGTTGAACACATGGTATATCAGGACTGAAAATTTCTCCTGTGATAAATGTGTATGTGTGTGTGTGTGCAAATATTAATACAAGTCAATATGATATCATATTCAAACAGAAAATGACGTTATTGTTGATTGCGCATTTATTATACAACTAATATTATAATGTCTTTCTTCAGGCAAGGTTTGACACTGACTGCACGGGAGATGCCGGAGTATGTTTGTCAAATCTGAACCTGGAAGTAAACCTTGATAAAGGAATAGTTCTAATTGGAAATGATACCACTTTACAGATGAAAGTATATCTTAAAAACTATGGCGAGCCGTCCTTGAAAACTTTTCTTAGAATTAATTATCCAGCTGCAATCAGATCTAATAAAATTGATGTTAACCCTCCTTCGGACATGTCTTGTTTGCCGAGAAATAATGGTAGTTCTATAGATTGTGAAAGTGAAACTACTCTTTATCAGCGCATGGTCATACAACTAGACATTTTGTTTGAAGTTTCCAAAGCAGCAATGGAAATTGATTTAGGTTATGTATCAACACCAAGCCTCGTTTTCAATGTGACGGCATTTACCACCAATGATACTAACATTAATGATAACACAGTAATTGAAAATATCGAAGTGGCTGCTTTTACCAGGACAACCTTGCAAGTGTAAGTTTACTGACATATTTATACGTTCATATATTGTGCAGTTTTCCCAATAACGGTCTCCGTTCTGTATTCTGTGTGTGGACTGGTAACTTAAGTGACAAAATCATGATTGTTTTCAAATGTGTTCATTGCTTTGTTGTTTTCCATAACTAAATCAACGGCAGAAATTTTTGTATATATTTGTCTAATCAAAAGAAAATTATAAAAGAATAGAAAGATCAAAGAAACCAACATATGAACGTGAATTTCCATTTGTTCCCGTTCGGGATTTTTTTCCCTTAAATTCTATACATTTCGTAAGAAATAGGATGATTTATATTCAAAACAATTCTCTTAAGAATTTCTTTTTTGAGAAAATGCATTTGACGACACTATATCATACATTTATCAAAAGACTTCAATTAGCGACACCTGAAACTTGTTGAACGGCAAGAAAGCAAACAAACAAGAGGCCCAACGGCTTTATAGGTCATCTGAGTATCATGTAACTTTCCCACAATTGAATTGGTTCATGTTTTAAACCAGAGGCCATGAAATTCACAAGACTGAAAGAAGCACCATTACTCATCATAGCTATACACCTAATTTGTTTACTTTATATCCAGAAGCAGAGCAAAGGATTATCAAAAAATACTGTAGAAGTGGAAACTTTGACGATGTAGAAACGTTGACGAAATTGACGAATTTCTAATAGTCGTCAAAGTTTTCACTCGTCAACTTTCACATTCCTGTTAAAGAACACTGTTAAATACAAGTAGATCGTCAAAGTTTCCATTCACCATTTTTATAATATACCGAAATCGTCAAACTTTCAACACTTCAATATAACCACGTTTACAGTAATGCATTTTCCCTATATAATCAGTAGAGCCAAACCCCAGAGAAACCACTGACTTTGGGGCCACACATTTCACAATTTTGGAAGAGGCACCCTTGATCATCATAACAATGCATTTAGTTTATTTCTTTAATACCAAGGAGCAGAAGAGAAGATTTCCGAAGCATAAATGCGTTTTTCGCTTTACTTGTATAATCAAAAAGAGTCCCAGCCACTGAAGCCCTGACCCTTGGGTCACGTATTTAACAATTTTGGAAGAGGCACCCTTGTTCATCATAACCATGCAGTTAGGTCATCGGCTTAATCCCCTGGAGCAGAGGAGAAGATTTTCAAAGAATTCATGCATTTTCAATATATCCTCAATAGACCCTCACCCAAAACCAGAACTTCTGACCCAGGGCCATGAAATTAACAGTTTTTGAAAAGGCATCCTTGATCAATATAACTGCATGTAGGTTGTTTGCTTAAAACCCAGGTTCAGAGGAAAAAGATATTTAAAGAAGAAATGCATTTCACTATTTGTAGTCAACAGAGCCTCGCCCTAGCACCAGAATCCCTGACCCTGTGGCCATAAATGTCACTATTTTGGTAGAGAGCTCATTGCTTATTACAATTATTCCACAGTTTGATTGCTTGATGTCCGGAAGTAAAGAAAAAGATTTTAAAAGATTTCATTGAATTTGATGCTTGTAATCCCTCCCCTCAGGCCCCAGGGAGGCAAGGACCATGAAATTAACAATTCATGTTCCCTTCCACTGATTGAAAAGATTGAAATTGGTTGAGCGGTTTCTGATGAGAAGCTGAAAGTGTTTTAATGTTAAACGCACGACGGACGAAAACAGATAGCAATAGGTCATCTGATTGACTCAGGTGATCTAATAACAAGCTGAACAGCCACACTTTGATGTCTCATGAATCTATGATACCGGAAATTAATTCTGTAAACGGTGTTATGTCTATGTTTCACTGTAGTCGTTCTATACTTTCTGGACAGTGTTTTCGACTTCCCCAAACTACATTTACAACTTTATAGTTTAAATCCTGTAAATATCGAAATATCCATAATATTTGACAAAGAAGGAATAAACATTTTTACACCAGATATTTTTCACTTCAAGAAAATTCTTCCTATGTTTATTGCAGATCTACCTCCGATGAACAAATAACCGCCACTGAGAGCAGTATACAGTTTTCAAACACTTACCGACTCTTCAACGAAGGCCCTTGTGTCATAGAAAAGGTGGATATTCAGTTTTTTATTCCTGTCAGTACCAAAGACAAAATCTTCATCAAAAAAGGCGATGTTAAGGTATAGCAATAATTAAGGTAGGGGTTACAAATTTGCCGTTTGTCTCCATAGTCGTATGCTTAGGCTACATTTATGCAGCAATAAACATATCACATGGCATGACGTTCTTAATACCTGTCTGTAAATGTTTTTGTGGTGGAAATCCTATCATTAATGTTACAGTATATTTTAAAAGATAAAAGGAAAGTACATTTTACAATGTCTGTTTTTAAGTATAGCATAATTGTTTTTCTTTTGACGTGTTCATTCATAAATTTGTTTAGTTTGTAAAGTTTTGGGGTTATTAGATTAAGGGGGAATGTTTCCTTCGTATGTTATTTTCAATTTCAGGTACAAAACAAAAACATAAAAGATTCTTGTAAACTGGTGTATTACCCCAGCAAGGATACAGGAACGACTACTCAGAACCCAGTGCCAGGAAGAAGTACGATCCGGTACAACACATCTGGAATAAATGTCATATCCCTGGACAGCCAGATAGGCACTGATCTTCACTTACATCCCGTCCCAGATATTTCTGAAAATTCTCAATATATTGTAAGTTTATATTATAGAACAGTTTTCTTTTCTTTTTATACGATACATGTAATTAAGCCTGCTTTTTTGTTTTTTAATGAAAACTGTAGTGAAAGACGATTTATTCTTTAGAATTTTGGCGGATTTTTTTCCCTCAGTAATGCAAACGTACCATAACAGAGACCACGAAATTTTCTTGATCAATTTCTTGAGATAAATAGATAATATAAATATAAATCCGATCAATAAAACAGAAATTTTAAAGGTGAAATCAAATAATATGTGGTTTTTAAATGAAAAAGAAATAATAACCTTCCATTTTTTTCATTTTCAGTTCTGTGATAGAAGAGATGGCCCCTACATGTGTGCAGTTGTTTTGTGTACATTGAGTATGGTCAAGCCTGTGGACAAGGATAATAGAACATTTGTAATACCGTTTGACATAGTTGTGGATGAACTACCAAAGTTACAAAAGGTACCCTCCTATTTTTGGAATCATTATTTTTTCTTATTAATTGTCTTGAATAGAATGCATGTAACTATTTAAAAAAATCTACATCTTTTAAGCATTGTTTTTTGTTATAATATATATTTGCAGAAATAGATTTTATGACCATAAATAGCCTTATGTATCAATAATATATAAATTGGAAGAAACTGTTGTCACCTTTCTAAACATTTATTTGATGATTTATATTTTCATATAAAAATTACTCATCGTTTTGAATTCAAACAAATAACTGAACAAAATGACAATATATCTTTTTATTTTTATGAGTAATTTTGAATCACATGTATTACAGTGCAGGGAACTAATTTTGTTACATAAACCAGCATCAGCATAAGCATTAGTAGCATAAGGATCGAGCTAGCATCAGCATTTAAAAAACAGCATTGCCAGGATCAGCATCAGCAAGCAAAGGATAAAACCAGCATTGACCTACATAAAATCAGCATTATCCTTCTAGCATCAGAAAATCAATGAGTTTTAATTCAGTAAAAAATTAAAAAAGAAAGAAAGAATGTTGGTTAAAGTATTCACATTATTGATACATAGTGAGAAATTATGATCAAATAATTGTAAAAGGCACTTTTATTGCTTTAAACGGTCATGCTGAAATTCATTATCTACTTCCGGTAGCATGATGCTTCTTCCGGTAGCATTGATCTAATTATAAAACAGCATCAGGATAAGGATTACTAGCATTAAATCAGCAAGCAAAGGAAACACTCAAATCAGCAAGCAAAGGAAGCATTCAAATCAGCAACGATGCTGTAACAAAATTAGTTTCGTGCACTGTATGCTTTTATGCTACTTTAATTACTTAGTTAATATTTGGACTTTGGACAGAATATTAATCTTAAACTTATTCCTGTGCTTTTTCTAGGGGAAATCTTTCTTTACCTTTGTTACACGTGGACATGTGCTCCCCACCAAACAATCAACCGTGCCGTTAGTTCTAAAGAAAAATGTATCCGAAGAGGTAAACTAAAGATGAACCGAATGTGTTGCTCTCGCTCTATATTTTGATGAACTAAATGCGTTGCTCTTGTCCTATATTTTGATGAACCAAATGTGATTTCGATTGCTCTATAAGAAGAAGGTACGGTTGGGTCTTTATTGTGCCTTTAATATTCAATGTTTTCAAAAAGCTATGGAACTGGTTTAAAAATGAGTTGAGTAAATGAATATAATAAAACATTAAAGCATATGGCATGAAGGAGGACCATTCTGGAAATATGACGTCATTAATTTGGTACATATTTATATGTTGTAAACAGAAAAAGCCTCAAAATCACTCATTTCAGGTGTTATTTCTCTTAAGGAAACAGTCTCCACAGCCGTCGCCCACTTCAATGTTCAGATATATTGTGTAAAATCTTTTGAATCTTTAAATCTTCTTTGTGGGCGATGCATGTGCTCTATATTTTCTGAAAGAAAATTCCACTGAAAATTGATGTCTTCTGCAACTTTTTAAAAAGAAATATGGGAAAATACACAAGTTCATGAAGTCTCAATAAGCATTTAGAAGGTCATATGAAAAAAAACGATTTGGATTTTCTTACTGCATGGAATTTCAACGATTCAGAAAGGATGAATTTTAATTTCTTACATTACTTCCAAATATTAGAAATATGTATTGAAAACGTACCTTGTCCTTTGATGAACTAAATGTGTTGTTCTTGCTCTACATTTTGATTAACTATATGTGTTACTGTCTATTTTGACACTTGAGTTGTTCTAGCTCTATAAAGCCTGTAGGAATTTTTCTGAGTTTTATAAAAATCCAATTAAATTTTATTTCAATCATCTGTTCACTTGAAGTTCACTTCTAAGAATTTTTGTACTTTTCCATTATTGTCTCATGCATACATGTATAATTTGTATTTCTTTTAATATTTTTTAATCTTTTTACCTCAATTTACAGGTATCTATATCCATTCTTTTTCCTGACTCTTTCACACAAGATGTGGAGAAGGTGGACTTGACAATAATTATCGGAGGCAGTGTTGGAGGGCTCGTACTATTCATTTTGCTAGGACTGCTCTTATGGAAGGTTTGTTAAAACATTAATGTGATAATAAAACTAACGCTATACAGTTATCATTATTACATCAGGTTTACATCGTACTATGATTTGAAACAGAGTATTAGAAGATGTTTTAAAAGCATATATAAAATATAGACGCAAGCATGATCTAAAATAAAGAATGAATTGCGTGAAAAATGCAATAAAATCTATTTAAACTCTTAAGTCTCCATATTGTAAGCTCTACGTGTAATTACAGAACCGTTTTGTTTAACTCTCCAGGGTTAATATCAACTTTGGCTTTGTTTACAGAAGTATAATTATAATTTAATCTAGTAAAACCTCAATTACCTGTAAATGGACTGCAACATTCTCCCGTAAATTCCTTCGTCTTTCTAAGTTTGTTATAATTTGCCTTAGCTTATAACCAAACCATTTAGTCTTCAAACAATAATGGAATTTATTTTACTAAGACACAGCTTAATTTCAGAAAACTGTTACATTCAGTTTGCATATACAACCTACATGTGTCACTTTGTCATATTTTAACGGACATACTTCATTCCAATAGTTAGGCCATTAATTTTATGCTAAATTTGACTATGTATTATTCCGTATTTCTGATCATGCAAAACGTAGAGCTCACGGCGGGTGTAACCAGTCGACAAGGGATGTTTACTCTTCTAGGGCACCTAATTCCACCTCTGGAATTTCCAGAGGTCTGTTTTTTATGCTCGGTTCTAAAATTTGTGTTGTTTATATATATATATATATATATATATATATATATATATATATATATATATATATATATATATATATATATATATATAATCGAACACTTTTCCTAACCGTCATCTTATTCATTATGTACATATACGCAGCTTAGTATAAATTTCTTGGAGATAAAAATGTTCATATTACATAGAAAATCTAAGAAAAGACAGATACTTGCCAATGGACACTTGCATTTAGATAAATATTCCCAAGATTCCAGGTTTTAAGCTCTTACGTAGAATTCACCTTAGAACGAAACATTCATAGTGCAATTACTACATTTACATGTAAATGTGATGTTATGGAAGCTTTAATCCTCCATTTTAAGAACCGATTGAATTTTTACCAGCCATTGTTAAAAAAAGGTATCATTTCTGATACGAATACCGTTATATGTTGAATAAAAAGGGGCTTGAAAATTGAAATATGGGCATGTAATTTGAATTTCTATCAGTTTATTTAAAAAAATCTTATAATTTTTTTTTATACTTCTAGGTATGCCTGCATAAACATCAAGGAAAAATTTATTATTTTCGACTTAATTACCTAATAATATATGCATGTTCTTATGTAGAACATGCATATAAATGAGAAAATATAATATTGATCAAACAAACAAAAAAAAAAAAAAAAACAAAAAAAAAAAAACAAAAAACATCAAAATGGAGTCCAATTTTAAGATTCAGTACTCAGTTAATTTTTGATGCCTGCATGAGTTTGATTTTGTGTTCAGTTTAGTAAAAATCCATTTGTCTCAATATTTCAGTGTGGTTTTTTCAAAAGAGAGAAAAGAAAACAGGTTGAAGAATATAAACGGAAAACTCGCTACAGCATGCGGAAGAGCAGAATGGCTTCCGTACGAAGTGCAAAAAGCGGTGCTGGGTCAATTCGTTCTAAAGTGCCAGACGAGGAAAAAAAACTAAACCAAAAATTTGATGAAATGAATGATGCAAATTTCACTACATGATATAGTTGTTTTTAAATGCCAAATCACATTCTTCGTAACATTTAGTGCAGGAATTAGCAAACAAGAAGATCCAAGCTTTACAGAAAATGGAATAAGCAGAGTGCATTGCTGAATAAAGCCCGCAGCTTAAAGAGATACATGTATTCATGCTTTCAGTATTTTTAACTGTTAGATGCAATGAGTTGGAACAAACACAATGGACATTTGTCAATCTCTCATACAATCAATCTTTTTTGTACATTTACTCTATTGTTGACTTTTTACTGGACTGCCAACTACGCTTTTAAATAAAGAAATCATTTTTTTTACCATTGTCTGCTTGAAACTCATTATATCAGACGTATTTCATGCTTTAAATCATAACAGACATATGAGAGATACAAAACTAATATATATGTAAAATTATCTCTTAGTTTCCATTCTGAAAATCAAATATCTGAATATCGGCTAATCTTGAAAATTGATTGTAAGTTTTTAGAGAACAGTTATATAGTCCACAGATCCAGGATTTTTTTTCCGGGGGGGGGGGGGAGAGGGGATCCACACCAAGTCAAACAAAATATTTTCAAATATTTTGACCACAGAAAAAATTGAAACCTGCACAACTTGCCCAAACCTGAAAAACATATTTCTTGGGTGTGGAGGGGGGGGGGGGGGTCACTCAGCTAAATCATTTTATCATTATACAAAGGGGGAGGGATCAAGTGCGTCTTTTGGAAATTTAATAACTGAAAATCTCGGGGTGGGAGTTAGGGGTCCGGACCCCCTCCATTGATCCGTGCATGTAGGTCTTGATTAAAAAAATATTCTAATTCTTGTGTATAAATTTAGACATCAATCTTCACACTTTTAGAATAATATTTTTTTTTTTCAAATTACGGATGCACAAATATGGTATTAATGTATATGAATTTATTTTAGGGTTCTGAGTACTCGTGCACATTTCTTTAATGGCTGCTAATGATTTAAAAGAAGTATAACGAGTTAAACGTATACACTTGCCGGACAAAATTTGATAGAAGCGGCCTTTTATTTTGATAACTTTTTAAAGAAATATTAGTCATGTGTCCGAAGGAGGGTTATTTCCCTTAGCAGAGGGTCAATGAACCTTAAATAAAGTCTTCATGTACACGGATTTTCACAGGTAAGCACATAAGTGGTTAATCAAAATGTGAGATCGATACATGTAGAGTGTGCAAAAAAGAAAAATAACTTCGTTTTACTAAAGGCATTATGAAAGATTACTTCAAGTTTTGATACATATTATTTTTGTTTATCAAACACATTAATAAAATTAAGCATTTTCTTGGCAATAATACTAAAACTTCTGAAAAGATATACTAATGTATATGCTCAATCTCTAAGGGATTATAGTAATGTTTAACTTCCGAATTTTCCACTTAAACCAACTTACCTTCACAAACACTTTACTCCCTCAGGAAATTTTCAATGGAAAGAACCTACTTGATTAAAACAGAATTTTACACATAATATGAAACACTGGAAAAGTATTTCCGTAGTGGGCATTGTTCGTCGAAAGGAATTTATTTTTTACACTATCCCTATAGGCGATGACGATAACAATGCACCGTCTATCTAATGAATTTACTTTGCTTCTGTTAATTTCTATCGCTTATGGATATAACATTGATACAGAGTTTCCTAAGATATTCAGCGGGCCCACTGGATCTTATTTTGGAGTTTCTGCAGAGATTCTCAAAACCGATTTAAATAATTGGTAAGTTTCTTTTTTCCATTTCTTTATATTTATTTTCTTGTTTTCAATTTGCAAATGTTTTGTCATCAACCTCACCTCATTAAACAAGTATACAAATTTGATCTAAGCCTTTTTAAATGCTAGTATATAAACCATAAGTCTCATAGTAAAGGCATTTGTGTTAATGAACGCCTACATACATAAAGGTAAATCAAAAAGTTAAATGGGATGTTTTAGATCTATTGAAATACATGTATAATTAGTCATTTGTCGTTTAGATCTTGAAAAACGTTAACAGTCGTTTTCGTCAAGGAAAGTATAGATTACTTTGCAATTACAGAAAATGTTTTTGACCTGCCTGACTATCTCGAGCTGCTCATTATACAGTAATAACATGCCTTATACATGTATACATGTAGCATCTTCCGCCTCAATGAACTTCGAACTGGAAATTCATCCAACCTGATGAAAAAAAAAAACAAAAACAAACAAACAAAAAGATGTGAAATGTAACTTCACCTGATAGAATGCTCAACAAATGCAATTCAAAACGAACAATCCACAGCGTATACTCATCTTTATTAATTCAAGAAATAACTGTTTAACTTTTTTGTTTATATGTGATCAATCAGTTTGCTCGAGTGAAAATTTGCATAAACGCCGAAAGCGTTCATTGCGTAAAATTATCACGACAGCACACTGATTTTATTTGATAATCATCATAAAACCAAAAACTCAGACAGTATTTACATTTAACCGGATCCTTTGTTCAATAAGAATTTTTTTTTTATTTTTTAAAATTATATTCTAACAAATCTCAGCAAGCCCCATCCAGTATATCACTAAGCAGCACACAACGAGAAGGCATACATTTCTGTGACGTTCTGTGCAAACCGCTTTTTGCTGTTACTAAGCTATTATCTTATTTGTAGTTTTATCTAGGACAAAGACATTTGACATTGTAAATATTCATATAGTATATCATTCATGTAAATCTTAATACGGTGCCATTTTGATGCAGCAGATGCGCATTTCGACAATTCATGTCTCTTTAGTGGTGCTCATCCCGAAACGTTGGAAAAATTGGAAATCCGAACTATTAAATAAAAAAACAAAATTAAAGAGCAGAAGAAAGGGGGTACCAAAGACTGGAGCCTAATACATGTACGTGGAAGGATCAGAGCTATGCATGGGGGAGATAATCCTTAATTCATACCAACATGCATTCTTCAAATTTTAGTTCAAAGCCAATAAATGTTTAATTAAGAATTTTGCCTCTAGGATCTATGAATAAAAATAGATCCGATCAAAGACCCATTGCTGTCACCATTATTTCGTAGTCATTTTACAATTAAAGTATTTATAGTCATCTGTTTAATGAGGGTGTGTATTTAATGATTGCTCTATTAATATTTCTCCGCTGAATAACGATTTTCCTTTTTTCTTCTCGTTAATCTTTAAATAAGTCAATCGACTTACCTTTCCACATCCTAGCTTCCTTACAAGTATTGCTGTTTTACAGGTCTATACGATGATTAAGCTACTAGAGGAGTATAATTCACCGAGACCAAAAGGACACGTAAATAGCGAGCTTCCAGGGCTGTTAAATCATCTGTTTTATTATGCGATTCCAAAAGAATTGATTTCAACTATTGAAGCAAACCATCGCCATCTTTTCTTTTTTTTTATTGTTTCTTGTATTACATTGTTTTTTGTTTTTTTTACTTGTTTACCTCTGTTAAATTCTTAAACGAACAGGGTGGGAGACAGAGATTTAGTTGGACAACAAACAAACATTATTATACCTATCGTATCAATCTGAAATCTCCTTATCTAATTTTGGACCAACGTAGAAAATATCACGTTATACATGTATTCACTTGTATGATCGGATTCATATGGATATTTCCTTTTATAATTTTTAGAATGTTCAATCATAGAGCTGCATGTAGGGATCATTCAATCATATATTTAAAAAAAAAAAATACCTCCATTATATAGATAGAAACTTATCTAAAATTATTTTTAGGATACTTGTTGGTGCCGTTCGTGATAATTTCACCGACAGACCGGAAATACCAAATCCAGGAAATGTGTATGCATGCCCCATTAACTTCAAAGAAGATGCAGAATGTTTTGTCCTAAGCAGTTTACGATCTACTGGTATGTTAACTTTTAAATCACAATATATATCTTTAAAATTAAATATTCAATGGAGGACAACCTTTTAGTGACTCTAAATAAATAAATTAACTGAGTATATTTGTATGAGATACAAAGAAATCTCTGTAGTACATGTTGTCCTGATTTATTTTGTTCCAAATTGATTATAAGCCCTCTTTCTGGAAAAAAAATGTACAAATGCCATAATTTTGCGAATTTTCATTTATAGACATGACAATAAGTATTAACAATTCAATAAATGGGGAGATCACGAAAGCCATATCTTATACAAATGTTCTTTTAAATATTCTAGAAAAGTTGTTTAATGATATCCCCTGTTACATACAAAAATAATTTTAGAAATAACATCACTTCTAGTGATTGTAAAAACATATATACAGTACAAGCAAAAAGTTGGCGTTCAGAAATTAAAAAATAAGATGCCCACAAAAAGCAAACAAAGGATTGCTAAAAACCCATAAAGAAATAAAAGTTCAGATATTGCACGTATGAAGTGAATTAATTGAGGATTACTTTCTGATTAATTATAATAATCCCTTATTCATTGAATAGATTTGGAAACAATTAAAAATTTTGTTTCAAGAAGAACGTTTCCATTGTATTTGGGAAACAAGTGATAAAAAATAAAGTTTTATCAATTGTCTCTTTAGAATCTACTGGAATAAGCAAACCTGACAATGTGTTCGAACAGAGGGAGCAACTTTTGGGAGCCAGTATACATATATCCAAGGATCCAAGTAAATCTATATTGGTGAGTGTTTTGAAACCAACTTATATTTCTCTCATGGCATATATTTCATGAATTTGTTACTTTCTCCAATTAAAAATGACACTACATTGTTTCAATCTATTTCCTTTTTACTTGTCTTCAAAACATAATTAATAAATATCAATATTCAACAGTTACATTTACATTTTGCATGGTTACATAATTATCACCTATTTTAAATTGTGATTTTATACGTACGTTATTCACAGGTATGTGCTCCGACGTGGAAAAACTTAAGGTTGTTCAACGCATTTGACACAAATACCGATTCATACTTAGTTTCCGGCAACTGCTTCCAACTTAGGAACAGGAATGACCTTAATCAATCCACTCTAAACATGTTTCGTATGAATCAGACAATAATTTCAGATGTTTACATTAATCCGGAGATTGGATTTTCCATCATAGATTCACCGGTATTTTACTTTTATTGAGAATAATCTTTTTAATATACATGTATATAAGCTTGGAAAAAATATTTCACTTTTTTCCATCTGTTGTTTAAACACCAAATAATTTCACATTCATTAACAATCAAGTATTCAAGTTGTTGATATGTAACAGTTAAAGAATTTAAAAAAAAGAGATTATCCTTTAGTTAGTCTATTTCAATAAGAATTACTTCCAATACATGTAACTGTGCAGAAATCACCTCAGAAAATGGTGACAACTTTTTATCCGAGTATAACGGAGCATTTCACCTATGATTATTACATGGTATAATTTTTTTCAGCATCCAAGTTTTGATATAATATTTGGTACACCAAATGCTGGTCTTGGGTCCACAGGTAATGGTATATGCATTTTTCATCAGGAGTAATTTTTTTGTACATGTATTACACACATATGAATATTTATAATATTCATATGTATATTCATATTAGCAATATAATTTGTTCATCTTTATCTTCATAATTCAGCTTTATGAGTTTTCTGGATTTTTTTTTTCAAATCCTGTTGAAGAAACCCTGTATCATGAAAATAATTTAATTTACCTTTTCTCCAATAAAATTATTTCTTGATTTCTTTCTTCAAGAAATTGCACACATTCAATTAACGAATATTTCTTCATTAAGATTTGAACCCCATAATTAGCTAATCACAAATGTAATCTTCTCCTTATTAATCAAAGAACGTTATATATCATGCATGTTTTCATAATTTTAAATTCATTTCTTTTTAGAGTGCATGAGCAAAAAAAAAAACCAAAAAAAAAAAACAAGAAAAAAAAACAGTATATTAAAATATTCTACTTATTTTTCCCAATCTTTATAATTGTAATAATATTGACTTGTTTTTGAGATGCATAACCAAGTTAAGACATTAACTGATTTTACGATTACGTTCTTGTCTAAAATTTTTTTTTTAAATTTCACTGCACGTTTAGATAACTTAATTTTTCACTCATCTGAATATTATAACAGTATTTGTGATCTGAATTCCAGTGGTTAACAGGACATATTTGCTTACAGGTGGCACATTCGCTCAAGTAAATCTCGGCAGACAAACCCACCCTTTTATCATAGAGAGGTCTGACCTTCTTTCTACTTATCAATCAGGATCATACTTTGGTAAGTCTTATTACAAGAAGTGTCAGATAAACGTAATTATCTAATAACATCTCACTCCAACGTAATTATCTCCAGTCATCATACACAAACGTAATATTTCCCACAATCTCAAAAAACCTTATAATCTGTAGCTTATCTCCAACCATTCTGCACACATGTAATTATCTGTAGGTTTATCTTCAACCACTTACACACCAACGTAATGATCTGTAGGTTAATCTCTCACCATCTTACACAAACGTAATTATCCGTAGGTTTACCTTCAACCATCTCAGACACAAACGTCATTATCTCGGGACTTGTTTCCCCCCATCTCACATGAACTTAAGTTCACATGAAATTAATTATCTGTACGTTCTTCTACCATTACCTCACAAAGACGTAATTATCAATAGATTCATCCCTCATCATCTCAAACAAACCTGATTATCTATAGTTTTATCTCCCTCCATCTCACAAAGATGTATCAAACTATTCAAAAATTATATAAATTTTGTAAACTGTATTTTCAAATCACTGACAATTTGTATGGCTGGCTTATTTGAGGTATCTTTCGTTGTTTGAAAGAGCACAGATCAAAAACGTCTCATTGTATTTAAGATAATATTTTCCTCATCAGCAGTTAATTGATTTTAATTATTTTAATGACAGGATACAGTTTAGCCTCAGGCAATTTTGGAGAATCCGGGTATTATTACGTAGTGGGAGCACCTGGTTTCAGTAATCAAAATGGCGTCATTGGCTCGGTACGAATCACAAACTGTACACATTTTAACACTCTTCATTAAAATGTGTAAATATGAAAGGCATAGCAGGTAAAAGAGAAATTTTTTTTATCGAATATCATTTATGAAATGATGGCAGTTATTGTTTTTATGTTTTACATTGTATGACATTAAATGCATTTCTTCTTCAAATATGTTTACAAGTTTAATCTCCTCAGTTTTCGATCATGGCATTCAATGGAGTAACAGAGAGACAAGTGAAATTAATAGAAGGGCTGCAGGTATTTCACTTTCTTATATTTGTTTCAAATTTCTGAATTCATACGCGACTATTCATGAAGATCATATTATCCATTCCCCTCAGTTTTAGTTATGAACTATTTTATTTTTAAGAGGCAATTGGTATTCCAACATATTTTAAGATACAATTTCTTATATTCTCCCTTTATATGCCTATTATGGCTAAAAATCTGTTCAGTCCAGGATTTGTAGTTATTAGATTCTTTTATCATTCCACAAGAAGCTAAAGTCCACTCTCTGACTTTTTCTGCTTTTCAAATTTTTAAAAACATTTTTCTAACATGATTTTACACTCAGTAAAAAAATATGGTATCAAAACTTCCTAATTAGGATTCCTAATTGCGGAGATTATTTGCATCAACCCCCCCACCCCCACCCCCCAACCCCCCCCCCCAAGTTTTGACCAATGAATCTATTTTTTTTAAACCGGATTAGCTGATTGTCCGTTGAGACCAATAACACAATATCTATGTCTTACATTATATACATACATATTAAACGTCCTTTGCAGACAGGAGGAGGTTTTGGACAAACATTAGCTATAGCTGACGTAAATGGTGACGGGAATGACGATATCCTGGTCGGGGCACCAAATTCCTATTTAAATAGAACGTCTAGAAATAGAGTTATATACGATGTCGGTGCTGTTCACATCTTCTACGGAACTGGATCAATGGCTGTAAATGCATTTTATCGTTTTCAGTATCATAAATATCCATTTTCATAATGGCAGATATAAAACAATACATTTATCCGTTAACTAGAAAAACACACAAAAAATGCATAATTTTTCTCTCTTTAGTTGGTCAACACAGTCAGATATGTTAGATACTGTGTAATAAAAATGCAAATGATCAACTCTCAACTGAAAGAGTTTTTGTTTAAGTCAATGTGCTGAAATTAAAAAAAAAATCAAATTTACAACACATTTGCTAGACTTACGTTGAACAAGATCCTCACACTGTTCACGGGGCAAACACTCAGGGATCAAGATTCGGAACTGCGATATCTACCGTGGGGGACTTAAACAAGGATGGTTTAAATGGTAAGTTATACATTCATATATTTTGGGAGTTTTAATGGCCAAGTTGTAAAATTTTACACTCATAACCACTTAATGCATGATTTGAAATTGTGAATTCGAAAGTGAAATTAATCTACTGCATATCTGAAAATCTAGGCTTTTGAATATTCAATGAGGTTGATTTTTTATGACTTTGTTGTGCTTGGGAGAATTTTAAAAGGACCTCGACATTTGAATTTTACTTTTCTTTCATAACCTCGAAGTAACATAACCCTGCAATAAATTTCAACCCCTTTAACTCAAGACCACTTTTTTTAAAGATTGAGTAAACATCCAGGGACTCTGTAATAACGGACCATTTTTAAGACTTTGGTTTAGCTAAACTGTAATGTTTAACCCCAGAGAGACATTTTGTGATGTTGATGTACAATAAGGAAGTAAACTTAATCCACTATATGATATAACTAAATACAGAATTAATAGAAAATTCATCTCAAGTTACTGTCACAAACAAATTTTTAATATGCAAAGATCCTATCTTAAAATTATTTATTTTCAATAGACATTGCCGTCGGTGCCCCATATGAGGAAGGTATTGGAGTAGTCTATATATTCAATGGAAACAAACCTAGACTTGAAGACACGTTTTCGCAGAGAATTCTTGGCAAAGATATTAAGATGGGGTTATATGGTTTCGGTTATTATATATCCAAACGTGGTCAAGATCTGGATGCTAATGAGTATAACGGTAAGGAAATAACCAGTTATACGAAATTTAAATACATTGTAAACTAAAAATTTGTAGAATGTTGAAAGGTCAACTGCACACAAATACATGAATAAGCATCAGGCAACATGTTTTCATCGAGCTTTGTTTGTCAAATTCTTAGTCAAGCTTCACATTCACAAAATACGGATAAATGTATTTTCGTTTTCCAGATTTTGCAGTCGGTGCTTACAAATCAGATGACGTAGTACTGCTGAGAGCACGACCCATCATAGAGATCAAGTCCGCCATCAGCATCAATGAAAGTCCTGTTCCATTAAGTTCAACGGGAACAACCTGTGAAATTCCTGGATCCACCAACCCATGCTTCACCTTTAATGTTTGTCTAAACTTCACAGGCGAGGGCATCAACAACACTTGTAAGCATCCTCCATATCTTTATCCAGTCAAAAAAAATACAGTAAAGAACGCTTATGTCGACGTGTTTGTAACAATCATTAACGTAGTTTGTTTTATCCGAGAAGTTCTTAAAACGTTTCAAAATGACAGGGAGTGAAAAATCACTTCGAAATCATTATTAAGAGTATTGAATGTAGACAGTCATCTTTTCATAAAATATTATTATATAATTATCAAATGAAGCTATTATTCAGATTAAGTTTAGCAATTTTTAAAGGAAGTTTTACCTTTCCTTTATATTGCAGACATAGACTTGCATATTAAGGCAGATGTAGAGAGTAAAAGACCTAGAGTTCTGTTTGACAGCCGGCAGAATAAGATAAATGTATCATTGTTAGAAATCTTCTCCAACAAGAATGTTTGCCTGAATTTTACACTCCGAAATGAAGTACGTCCTTCAAAAGATGCTATTATTTCATATTTTCTTCATATAAATTTTAAATGTATGCGATTAACTAGACCATTTATAATGCTTGAGTGTTTTTTTTAATATCATGAGCCAATGATATAATAGCTATAGTATACAAGGATTTTTTGTTTTGAAAATATTTTTGAACTCTCATGCATGCAGTATTTCAGGAAAAATTAGTTGAAATATTGACTTATGCAGTGAATGTATATACACATGTATTTATGTAAAGTTACATACTCTAATTTTATAATCATTGTTTCAGATAGTTGATCGACAATTTTTTTCGGCCATCGAAAAACCTGTAGTTTTGAAAGTAACTTACCGATTAAGTACTCAGTATATTCCGTCCAATGTCAGGGCCATTTTGAAAAGAAATGCATCAAACATAGCTAAAAGTCAGGTAAGAATGAACGCTTCCGCAATCAATTCTATTGTTGCAAAACATTTTGAGAATTGGTACAGTTCTGATAAATTTAAAATTTTTCCATAAGCATTATATAATGGCAATGATCGAAAAAATTAAGAAACTTTTTAATAAGTTTTTCTTTAAGAGAATGCGATATATTTTTAACGATAAGAGGAAGATCACCTTGGCCAAAGTTTGTGTACTTTTCGTACTGAAGAGTGTCCTGCTTCCGTCTGTGTGTCTCTATAGTGTGCCTTGTTTCGTAGGCAAACTTTTCTCACATTTTCATCTTCTCCAGAATCACTGGACCAAATTCAACAAAACATGGCATTTTTTTCAATGCAAGGGCCAAGTCCTCTTAATAGAATAATAAATGAATAAATATGATTGGCTTATTTTAAAAAAATTCCAAAAATTCACCCAGAAAAGAAAAATAAAATAGAAAGAATCTTAGAATGTGTAAATTTTCTTTTCAAAAACAGCAGCGCCATGAGGTCAAATCAGAAAGAATGCATTTTGAAGTGCAGGTTCATGTTGCTTCGAAAAAGACATTTTTAAAAATTCCAATGAAGTGGACACATTTCTGCTGGACAATGCTAACATTTATAGACTGACATTAAGCCTAGAGTTACTGTTTATTAAGATTCAATTTATTGATATCATTGATTTTAATGTCTAATGGATTTTAATTTATTCTATTGTGTCTCTTGAAAACTATCATATTATTTTTAATAGTTGACGATTGATTTCAGGTTTCATTCGATACTGGATGTAGAAATATGACAACTTGCTACTCCAACCTTGATATTGTCTCAAATTTGGACAAGACAAGCTTCAAGGTTGGAAGTGATACAGATATAAGTATGAATATTGTGATAAAGAACTCTGGGGAACCTTCATTTAGCACATCGTTAAGAATACAACATCCGACAATATTTGAGTATTCTGGTTACAAAATGGAAAGCCTTTCTGAGCAAATAACATGTAAAACAAAGTCCGCCTCTACCGATATATCGGAATTTCTGTGTTATCTGGACGACCCATTTTATCCTCATATGGTAGTAAACATCACAGTGTATTTCTACTTAGCTAGAAATATGATCTCTAATCCGGAATTGATAACATCTCCGGTTTTGAATTTTGTCACCCTAGCCTCGACCAATCACGACACTGATGTGAAGGATAACGAAGATGTAGAAATTTTACGACTTAGTTTGCTGACGGATGTTTCACTAAAAGTGTAAGATCACCATATGAATAACACATAATAGTTTTCGAATGGATTATTTTTTTCCTTTGAGTTATTTCCCTTGGTCGCCATCTTGGAGGTCAACCTTTTCTTCTTTGTCTTAATAAATTTAAATTAAATGGGTGTAGTAAAACTCTTTGGGAGTAAATCTTTATCAAGAGTCTGAATTAAAGAAGACTAACAAACGTATACTCTTAAAAAAATCGTTTCCTTCACCACAATGGCCAATATGACAAGTCAAAATTGGTTAAATAATAAAGGAATCTGGGCATGTTGACCTCCAATATGGCGGCAAACGGGAAATAACTCTGACTTGCTAAATTCACGTTTTTTGAAAACTGTCCATAATGTTCGTAAATCGTCTACATATTTTTTTCCTGGTTAAATATTTAAATGGCTTACAGTGTACACGATATTTTACACCAGGAAATGTTTTATACATAAACAGTTTAAGGTAGCGGTTTTAAAGGTGCTTGGACACAGATTTTAAGTTAATATTTTCTCACATTTTCTGTATAATTTCATGACTTATATGTTGCTATAGCATTTCGTACTAAAATATAATAAAAATCTTATTTCATCTTGAACGAATTTCTAGACGCGTTGGATTTACAAATCCTTGCGCTTTCACATATTTTAATTTTATTCTTAATACTTAAGAAAAGTGGAAATTTTGTGTATTAGTGAAAAATATTAAAACTATAACCCAGAAAATTCAGAGTAGAAATGTTCGAAAGCAAAACCCAATAACAGTATTGTAAGTCCGTGGTCAGTGGTGTGTGCAGAGTTTAACAATTGAACATACCCGGTGAATCGTAAACATTAACAATAACAGAGCTCGTGCCCTGTTTACAAAAACAGTTTACGTTTCACGCGTGTGTTCCATTTGTTAAACTCTGTACACATCACATCAGAGCCCGGACTGACAATACTGGTGAGTTGATTTTGCTTTCAAACGTTTCTACTCTGAATTTTCTGGATTATAGATGTAATATTTTTCATTAATACATAACAAAATCGCTTCTTTTCTTAAATATTAAGGATAAAGTTAAAATTTGTGTTAGTGCAAAGATGTGTTAATCAAACGCGTTCCGGAATTCGTAGTTCCAATAATTTCCAGATAAAATAAGTTTTTAATTATATTTTCATGTGAAAAACTATTGCAATATATAAGTCGTGATATTATACAGAAAATTTGAGAAAATATTAAGTTCAAATCTGTGTCTAAGCACCTTTAAGTATTTTGACTTTGTTATAATATTATAAAGAATTGTAATGAGAGTCTTTTACGTATTGATAAGTGTACATGTATTATCAAATCCAAATTGTTTTTGCAAGAAGATTTGTTTTAAATTATTTCTATACATTGTAATTCATAATTTAAAATGCAGAGAACATTTTCTTTTAATAACCCTCGAAAATCACTTATTAACATGTTCATGAATGTAAACTTTTTGAAAGCATTTGTCTTCTACCCTCTCTTTTTTGATCTAGATCCTCCTCAGATGAGCAGATTCTGGCAACAAATAGCAGTGTGCAATTCACCAATACTTATACCTTATACAACGATGGCCCATCTCCGATTGAAAAAGCATTGATTTACATATCTTTTCCCGTTAAATATGAAGATAGAGTAATGATAGATCGAGAAAACTCACTGGTATATATCCATATAATTTAATTTTGTTTGTATTCTAGCCTCTGATTGGTTAATATCCAAAAAGGAACACAAATTATTTCTATTTTTTTTTAATATTTTTATTTATAACCTGGTTTGGTATGGGGACAAACCCCCCTGACAACCAGCTGAATCATCTGTATCCATACAATCCTCTCATTTCCAGTTCTCGGGATTCATGGAAAATTCCAGATTTAATAAATGTACCTTTAACTTCAAACAATAATTCGATCTTACCACATGTAAACAAACAACAAGGCTGCTAGGCCTATGTATCAGTTTTTACCTCCCCTCTCTTCTCATCACTTCCGTTACTATGGTTGTATTATTGAGCGGCAAATTTGAACTAATAAAAAGCAACGAAGTTTTACACCCATAGTTATTTAATGATTTTAAAATTAAATTATAAGGAATGACTCTAATTCTTGGCCACATTATTACAGTATAACCTGTTTTGGGTCAGTTTACGCTGTTTTATAATTCGCTTCGCGGATTATAAAGCGTAAACTGACCCAAACCAGGTTATACTCGAATAATTTGGCCAAGAATTAGAGTCATTCCTAAAATAACTTAAGGAGGCGGCGGGGGGGGGGGGGGGTCAACAAAATTTACTATCAGATATAACTTTTTTTTTTAGATATGATATCTTAAGCTGTCAACTATCATTTGGCAAAGAAAAAATTCATACATTTTAGTTTTAAAATTTGATCATTTTTGTATATCTTTATATGGAGCTCTTCTTCTAAAGGAGATCAATATAGTCTAAGAATGGCCACGACCACCCAGCCCTCTCAAAACGTATTGCTTTCTGTTTTGCAACACGTTTCACACGAAATGGAAAATTAAAAAAAAAAAACAATTTAAGATGCTGTAATTTATATCAGGATGGAAAAATCGTGTACTATAATTTGCCTTAATTTATACAACAATTTATTTGTAAGATTATTTGTATTTTTGTCTTTAGCCATCTGTAACAAATGTGGGCGATACCTGCATTTTAAAGTACCACCCAGAACAACTCAAGTCATCTTTGATGAAAACGTCGTTGACCTCAGAACCTGGTTTAATCAGGGATTTAAGGAGCGATTTGAAATTACAACCGTTTACAGAGCGTTCAGAAACATCACAGACTATGGTATTATTGAGTTAGTTAAAGCTTTTAAGGGAGGATAACTCTTTGTTTAGTGTAATATAAGATTTTTAACTGCTATGAAGACAGATTTATAGCAGAGGATAAGATTAAAATGAAATTCATGTCAATTTGGTAAACCACCCTGGTTAAAATTAGAGAAAAAATAATGTTAAAGATGAGAATTTTATAAAGAATATATAGAGAATAATATTTTTTTCAGAGTTATCTCTCTTTACAAAGGTTCATTCCACCTTAACATGTCTGTCTGTCAATCTTATCTCATTATCAACAATATCATAATCGAATGTACGTCAAAATGTACAGTAAACAGGTACACAGAATTTGTTAAATATTCAGACTCCTTAGTTTTTTAACCTAAAAGTAGATTATAAAAACCACATTTATTTTATGGATGACAGGATTCATTGAACTTATATCAATGATAAAACATTGCAGTTCTGCGATGCTTTGGACAATGGTTACGACTGTGCTGTCGTGGAGTGTATCGTGTCTAATGTAAAACCATCAGAAACGGACAGCAGGGCGTTTACAATGGCATTTCATATGCAAACTTCAATGCTTCCACCTTTACAAAAGGTATTATAAAATTCATTTAGAAGAAAGTTCAAATTCAATACATGTACATGTATCTAGAACGTTAAAAACTATTTATTTAGCGATTTCGATCTCGTTCTAGACCTAACATTCTTTTTTATTTCTGTACAGCAAAATCATAAACTGTAATTTTGTGTCTTATTTATTTTTCATTTATTTTGATAATTATGTCTTTTAATAACATGTATTTTTGATATTATATTTGTCATTAATAAACACAATAATTTTAGGGAAAGGCTTTTTTGACATTCGTGGTGCAGGCAAATGTTTTTCCTGCACCTGGAACAAGAATTCCACTGGAATTTGTCAAGAATGTTACTGGAGAGGTAAAGTTCCTATTTAACGTAAATCTTTTTTTTAAAAGTTAAGAAAAAGAAGAAGGTATGGTTTTAGCTTTATTGTGCCCTAAAAATTTAATGTTTTCAAAAAGTTTTGAAACTGGCTTAAATATCAGTTGAGTATATGACTGTAATAAATCAGGAAAGAATATAGCATGATGGAGTACCGTTCTGGATATATGATGTCAATAATTTGATGCATTTCTCTATTTTAAACAGAAACAGCCTCAAAATGCCCCATTTCAAGGGTTATTTTCCTTAAGAAAATAGTGTCCACAGCCGTCGCCCACGTTAATTTTTAGATATGTTGTGTAAAATTCTTTGAAAAATCACATATCTCAAAATCTTTGTGGGCGATGCCTGTGGACAATATTATCTGAAAGAAAATTCCATTGAAAATTTATGTCTTCTGCAATTTTTTAAGAAAATACGGGAAAATGCACAAGTTTATGAGGTCACAATTAGCATTTGGAAGGTCATGTGAGAAAAAAGATTTGTATGATCTTTCTGCATGGAATTTCAATAATTCAAAAAGCATGAGTTTTAATTTTTTACATCACTTTTATTTTTAAGAAAAACACAGGGCAAGATTTGTATTGAAACCGTACCTTGTTCTTAAGAGAAATAAGTAATGATTTTATAATACTCTCTTTAATAGGTATCGGTGAACATTTTACTGTCAGAATCCTTTTATCAGCCAGCAGAGGAAATCGACATTTGGATCATCATAGTGGCGTGTCTCTTCAGTATACTGCTATTCATTATCCTCGGGATCATCTTATGGAAGGTACTTCTTGTGTCTTTATAGAGAAAAAATAAATAAATGAATAAATAATGAAATAAAACATGGCTTTAGTGTGGCAGCATATTTTATCAGGACATGTATCTTACAAGATATACATGATCATGTATAAAAAAAAAAATATTTTAGATAATAATTAATTAATGATTAATTGCATATAATAACTAAGTCTTCAATGTTTTTCTTTAAGTGTGGATTTTTCGAGAGGAAGAAGAGGAAAGAAATAAATGCATTTAAAAGAAAAACCCAGATGTCTATCCGAAGTGCTCGCAGTGGGCGCAGCGGCGCTGCAGGCTCAATAAAGAGCTCGAAAAGTATACCCACGGGTTCATTTAGAGTGAAAAAGATGGGAGATGACCACGAGAAACTCCACGATAAAAATGCGTCGGACAACACGATCGATTGACTGTTAACAACTCAGGAATATGATTTGATTCAAATTCATCTTGAAAGTAGATTAATCAACTAATTTTTTCTATTTCCATTTTGGATCAGACCGTTCCTTCATCAAACAAATCTCATTGTCTTGCGTAGTATTTATGTCTTTTTTTTAAAATACAAAATGTATCAATATAATGTAGTTAACTTACCAAGATAGTTTTTTTTTTTAGAATTGTTGTCTGGTATATTTTCAAAGTTTGATTTCATCTTCTATCATGGCCTTAAAGATACGCACAGTTCAGAACATGACAGAATGTCGAACATGAAAGTTTCTTATTTGAAAGGTTCATGAACTCGACTCGGGTTTATAGTAGAACAAAGCTGTCATGTAATTGACCAATTATCTTCTTGTACTTTCAATAACAAATAATTATCTATACTTATGAATTAATACATTTTGCAAATAAACTCCGAAACGGATGCACTAGAGTTTTTACCTACTCCTCTAAGAATACACTAGATACAATATAATGTCCGTAAACTATATTTAGATTTAACTCGCATTGTAAGTATCGTACATTAAATTAAAAGTCTACTTTTATTTTCTATAAACAGCCATGAAATAGCAAAAACAGAGTAAGGTGGCGTTTCCGGTTGGCGGATCTAAGTTTCTGGCAATTTTCAATGAAACTGACAACAAGCAATCGTTTATTTATTTCATAAAACGTCATCACTAAATTATTCAATCAAAACTTGATTTAAATGACATAAAAGAAATAAGTTGTGATAACCGATTAAAAAGGGAAATGTGCAAATTATTTCTGTCATTCACCGATCTTAACATTGACGGAAGCTTTTAGAACATCATATAGCACCGAGCCCGATGTTAAAAAGAAAAACGAGACGATTAACATAAAAAAAAGCTTATGCGTGAATGGTCATTGAAGTAATGGTAAATCATTGATAACACTATAAGTTGTGAATATATTTATATATCGAAAGACTATTACATACATGTAGTAGGTTTTCCTAATAAATTTATCGGTAAAATGTGTAATATATTCCTCACTGAGAGCATCGTGGCAACGAACCCGAAGTACAATTTCTACTTCGTAATAAAATTGCTTACATGAAAAGAGAAAATTAATGTATAAGATATTGCTCAAATACAATTAAAGCTGTAAAATTTTGTGCTTTAATCAATACATTTCAGTTTTTTTTCTGAATACAGTCTTTTGTATCAAATACTCGGCCTATTCATGGGGCGTTAAAAGCTAATTTTTGCACAGGTACTTGCGTCTTGGTATATAAATATATATGTACCTTATTGATATGTAAAAAAGGTAAAGTACATTTTTACGTATCAATAAGGTACATACATATTTATAAACCAAGACCCAAGTACCTGTGAATCCCCCCCCCCCCCCCAAAAAAAAAAAAACACCAATCAATTTATCAGTAAAATGTGCATATTCGCTGTTTTTATCCTTGACGGAAATAAAATAAGAGCATCTGAAGTTCAATATCCATAACATAGTATAACAGGTTTCACAATAAACATCAATTAATGAAATTGTTATCTTTTTCAAGTTTTTACAAAAGGGGGTGGGGGTGGGGTGGAGACGCACATGTGGGATTTTGAACAAAGTATTTCTTCCTGCTATAAGCCTGTAGGCTGTCAGTAGAAACTACAATATATTTTCTGTCGGTAGTGGTATAAATTCAATTACCCGCGCTTGCGCGGGATTTCATCTAGTAGAATATTTAAGTATACATGTACGTAAAAACATACATATTGATTTGATATTATGTGCCATAAATTCTAAATTCTAGATCTCTAAACATTGCCGTATATATGAATATTCATTAATGTAATTTGCATTTTGTGGTCTACGTAATAAAATACATGTAACTATGTGTCTTTCATTATGTGATTTCCTCTTTCAAGAATACCTTGTGCGCACGCACTCGTAAATAACCCAGTCCTCTTTCAATGCGCAGTATACATCGACATCCCTCTTTCAAAGCACATGTAAGCATCGAATTTGATGGCGCTTAAATGTATGGACAATTTTTATTGTAGGCTATGCTGCTTAATCGCACATGTCTTTTTGATGTAAAATTTCAGTATTTACAGAAAAAAAACTGCCAAGGTGCTCCAGTTGGGGGTCAGAACACCAACATGATCACAGCAACCAACATGTATATGGCCGATTGAATTTTCTAGATTAAGTCCAGAATTGTTAATTTTAATACTTTCAGTGAATCTTATCGATGACAAAAATGCACTAAAACAGTATACTAGGTACATTTGATACATTTACTCATTGAAAGTTCTATTTCCTGAGTAGTCTTGGAATGAAAGGATCCCAACATGTACATATTCGCTAGTACACCTTTTTGGACTGTACAGGATCCCAACATGTACATATTCGCTAGTACACCTTTTTGGACTGTACATGTTACCAAAAATTGGATTGGGTCCAACTTTAAATATGACCAAAATCCAGCCAAGGTTGAATTTATTTATAATTATCTTGAAAAGGATCTACTAATGCAAGTGCATGGAGTGCTTACAGGATAGTCCCCTGGAATGGTCTTTTACAGAAAACTATTTTCTTGAGGACTCTTACACATTTTAACTCCCGAATCATTTTCTAATAGAAGTTTAAAAAAAAAAGATTATGATTTTTATATCTATATTTTATTTAGTAATTTTTATTATAAAAGTATTATGTGTAAGCATAGAAATACGCACTATCTTAATGATAAAATTAGATATTCCCTGACTTCATTTTTTTTTAAATTTCAGTGAATAGTGTTTCCGGGAAAGGAATGTCTTTATAATTCACAATGATTATAACTCGTTAATTCACAATTAATGATTTTATCTGTATAATTCACAATGAGTATAACATTAAATTATTTTAAAATGCTTATGACGTAAATCTGTATTAAATTCAAGAGGGATTTTATTTTCATCGATTCACTTTTGGATGAGCGGGGCCACAGGCTCATCCGTACGGGTACATCCGAACTTGTCTTAGTTTTATCATGTACATGTAAAGGTTTTAGAAAATTATTTGAACTACAACCCACTCCCATCAGGAAGAAAATCCTGGATCCGCATATGCAAGAGCTACTGCATAAAACATGAATATTTCTCATTCCTTATCCAGGAGCACATTCATTTTCCCCTATTACAGGAGGAGTAGAATTTTAAGTAACACCCACCAGTAATCTATCTCCCTAACTCAAGATTAAATGTATACGTAACGCATACAGAAGCGATAATGAGGGTTTCACTAACTTGTGATTCGTGGAAATGATCCCCCCACTGAGCACCCCCAGGATCTCCTTGACCATATTGGCGTTATCTTCATGGAAACCTGTAGCATGCTTATCTGTAGATAAAGGAAATGGAACACAGAGATCGGTAAGTTTTAAAGTGCATTCTACATTTTTCTTAAAAGTTAGCGATATATCAAAGTGTACACGTGTATGAAAAGTGTGTTTATACATATGCTAACAGCAATTTAATGTATTTTTAGATGTTTAGATGCATTAGATTTTAATACATTGCAGAGTCTGAATCTTTTCCCCGGATTTCTTTTTTTTATTTAAATGACATAATTTGCCTCAAGTAACAGTCTATAATAGAATACGTTGCCTACAATGTAAAATTGTATAAATTCGACATGTACTTTGACAACAAACAGGTTGCAAACGGCCTTAAATTACCAGTGATAATTTGACATTATCACATTAACTTTCCCATCTCTCACATATAATCATTTTCGCTGACTTGGCTCACGTTCTGTGAAGATATTATAGGATATTATTGCTCCGACAGTAATAAAATTCTTTTCTGTATTAGCTAATCTACCCTGCATTTGAAAATCTACGGATAGACTATTTCACATTCGTTGTAAAATGATATGTCTTTTTCCTTTTCGACGATTTCATTTTTATATCTACAGCGTATGCATGCATACGCATACTTCTAGAATGAGCATCGTTTATGCATGTAGTCTATATAAGAATTAATGAGCGCGTCAGATTTTCTGTGTTAATTAATTATTTACGAAAATAATATACTTATGATGATCAATGCAAGTTAATTAAGTTAATGATATAATCTGCCTATGTATATTTTTCAGATACATGCGATTTTTTCTAGGTTATCAAAGGAATGAATAATTTAACACTGAGCGAAGTATATATAATTTATTCATTGCACTGTTATAAATGAATATGGTATCAGTAGTTTGAATTAAGAGAAAGTTTTGTTATATTGTACTTAAATGTAGTAAATACAATAATTACAATATGACATGTTCAATTAATTTAAAATGTATGAATTTTAAAATGATTAAAACATTTAATAATACCCATGTTCATATAAAAAGGGTTTTGGATTTAAATTTGAATGATAAGTCAAAGTTTGATTCTGTAATGAAGCGATATATTTACCATTCTCATTAAAGTGCATTTAATAAATTACATGTATCTGGTCCCGCCGGAGATATGGATATCCTTTTTCTCTTAGAACGGGCATTTGTTTCTATAATAATTTTTTTCCCAGTAGGATACTTACGGAAACAAGTGCCAGTTATATTTAGCCATGAACAGAAGTAAGATCTCGGTAATCTAAACCCCCCCCCCCCCCATCCTGCACAATGTTCTTATTTGATTTAGTGTACATATTACCTTTGCAAATTATAAACAGAACCTAATTCAATCAAATGAAAGTATTTATTTACTAAATCAAAAAAATGAATAAATAAATCAATAATTTAAAAAAAAAGAGGAAAGAAAATCAATCCGTTTACAGAAATCACACACAATTTAATTAATATGTATACATATATTTTTCAAATCAATAACTGGGTTTATTTGTCAGTAATAAAACGACTTGTTAATATCAAACTATAATTGTAAAAACATTGAATGCTGTAAAAGATTATGAATTACAAATATAATTATTTTTTTAAGTGCGTAATTTAGAGTCTAGTGAAAAAGATTTGTACATAAACGATGATAGGCATTTCATCGGGCGCGTCACATACTCAATGACAACTATTAATTAAATACAACTTAACATTGTGTATTTTTATCTGTTAATATAGTACTGGTGTAGCGAGTTCTAATCCTAACTTAATCTGAATGATTGCAATTCTGAACTAATCTTTGATTAATCCGTAATAATTTAAATAAAGTCCTAGAGATTCCGAATAGAAAATCCATATCGAGGCCAAAGCGTGCGAGAATCGTGTACAAAGCGTGTGAGAAACGTGTACAAAGCGTTTCGTGCAGGCTTTCGTGTAAACCGTGCAGCCTTTCGTGCAAAGCGTTTCGTGTAAACCGTGTAGCGTTTCGTGCAAACCGTGTAGCGTTTCGTGCAAACCGTGTAGCGAGCGTGTACCGTTCGTGCAGCGTGCGTGTGGGATAGTAGCACGTTTCAGGGTTTGTATATATGTGCATTTGTATGTGGTGCCTTTAAATAGATTTGTTTCCTTATACAGATTTCCGGAAACCTTTACACCAGATTTCCACGACAAAAATGCTGTTCTACAAATGCCAACTAGCCCCCTCGGAAAAACTGGACTACATATCTCCAAAATAAGTTTTGGTCTGTAAAACTCATCTTAGAAGAATATTTAATTATAGACAACAACCGAGAAAAAATATTTTATAAGGCTATACACTAACTTTGAAAATAAAATATATATAGATTACGAGTTTTTCTTTTTTTGTCAGACTGGAAAATTTGTATTTAAATGTATATTATAACTGGATATTGTAGGTGCATCCTCTCTCGGCAACGTTTTCCGAACAACCAATGAAAATGAGTCTTTGGATGTCGTACGTGAGGCCCTGCAGAAGGGGATTAATTATATTGATGTGGCCCCGTGGTATGGACATGGCATGGCAGAGGAAGTGTTAGGAAGGGTAATTAAAGATACGCACTTTAGATACATATATGAGTTCTTATTCAGTCTAAGAAGAAAAAAAATGATTCGTTCAATTATGAATTCCGGAATGAAAGATATACAGTGATTGCATTTCGATCCTTCTTTGAATTTAGCACAAGGTGCTCGCCCCTGAAATTCCCGCCAATACTTCGAAAAAACTAGCCATCACAGGACCTTAAGAAGTTTCAAGATTTCGTTTGGAAATACTTTTTATAAGATGCTTAGTAATAAATACGGGGTTTTTAAATAACGTATAACGTGAAAAATAAATGCTTTTCAGCTGCAGGTCGTGTTCAGTTTACACTCTAGGCCCAGCTTCCTTGATAGGTAAAGTACATACTTCAAATCAGCATAAAAATAAAAATTTATAGACTCGATATTTCTTTTTTAACTATAACTCAGGCTCTGACTGGGATACCCCGAACTGCGTATTACATGGCGACAAAGGTGGGGCGATATAAACCGGAAGTAGAGAAGATGTTTGATTTCTCAGCTGAGCGGACGTTACAAAGTGTGGACGAGAGTTTACAGAGAATGGGATTGGATTATGTAGACATCATTCAGGTAGTGATCCTTATCCCCTATATCTGAAAATGACCTAATGCAAAATGTAGAAGTTATTGTTGAGGTATATAAAGCTCAGTCGCCTGATTCAGAATTCTGGAATAGTATTTTCAACATTGAGACAATTTAGATGATTCTTTGAAATTGTAAACTGATTTATTCATTTATAAATTTACAGGTTCATGACATGGAATTTGCTCCGAGTCTTGACATTATTATTAACGAAACACTTCCAGCGTTGCAAAAGGTGAAACAGAGCGGGAAAGCGAGATTTATTGGTATCACAGGTTACCCACTTAAAAATTTCAAGTACGTATGAAATCACATCAGAAAATTAACTTTCCTTCCTCCTCCCTAGCCAGCGCCCATACAAAAACACCTGCCAAGGCATATTTATTTTTCTGCATATACTCCCTCCATACAATGATGTATGCGGGCAACAATATGTGTCAACTGTTGAGTCCTGTCCCTGTTGTTATACGTAAAAATAATTAGGCTTTGACAGTGAACATTAGATATGATCTGGATTTAAAAATTGTGACATATTTTGGTTCATCAGCAACAATATACACATAAAATTTGACCTCATACCGATCAGGGATTCGAAAATAACTAGCATTGCCCATTGACTTTGACCTAAAGATATGACCTTGACACTGCTTAATATCATGGACAACGACATACTACTATAGTAAATGAATCAATTCCAAACATGATTCGGGAGTTACGTGAAAAGGGTGAAGATAACGAGAAGTGATCGATCTCAAAATTCTGCTGTGAACCCTAGTGACCCGACACGATGATGTTGCAGCCAAAACGAGAGAAGTGTCCAAAAAGAGACATAAATGTACCTATCTTGTGTAGAGAAAAATGAATGATTGCTTTTTTCATTTTTTTCTTTTATTATAATATTTTTCTTAATTTAGTCCGCACCAGTTACAATTTTTAACTCTTTTTTTTAACAGAACAGTACTTGAAAGAAGTACAGTGAAGGTCGACACAGTATTGACTTACTGTAGAGCTTGTATCCATGACAACAGTCTGCAAGAATATATTCCATTTTTTCAAGTAGGCATTATTAGTAGTATATTAATTTCAGTTCTTCAATCTAGACGATGATTGCCCTTATTGATTTGTTGAAAGAAGTATTTATCTATTCAATTGTGCAGTCTATTATTGGATCTTTATTGGTTATAGGAAAGAGGAATAGGCGTGATAAATGCCTCCCCTATTGCTATGGGTCTTCTTTCTAATCGAGGTCCTCCTGAATGGCACCCCGCAAGGAAAGACATCAAAAAAGCATGTGCTAAAGCAGCGAATTTTTGTAAAGTATGTGTTATTGTGAATATCTTTAAAATATTTAATGAATTTATACAACGAAAAAACTGTAGACAGAAAATACAGAAAAATATTGAAATTGAAATAATCTTTCATCTTTTTTTTGCCACATTTGAATAACAAAAGTATTTCATTAAAAGTAATCAGCAATACTTGTAACATCTTCGCTAGTCAAGGGTTTCTGATCCGTTGGTCTTGAGGAGAGCGGCGGTTCAGAACCCATTAGCTAGAGAAGATGTTATTGTAATGTTTCATTTTAAAACAGGAGAACGGTTGCGATATTTCCAGACTGGCAATGGCGTATACCTTGGGATTTTCCGGAGTCGACACGACACTATTTAGTACTGCAAGGTTTTATATTTTCCCACTTTCGGTCAAAATGAGTTTACATTTTGATACTATTCAGTTTGAATTTTTAGGTTAATTTAATTATCATTATTTTTATTAATTTATTATCATTTTTATATTAATTTAATTAATTATGTTAAAACAAACGCACTTAAGATTTTGTTTATTGAATATTTTTTTTTAAATCATTAAAAGATTTAAATTTATAATAATGATTAAGATATGTACAAAATTTGTTGGGAACGTAAAAGTATCGAATAAGCACTGTCACGAACGATGAGAATATTTTTTTTAAATTTTTAGTTTGGAGAATCTAAGAAAGAATATGGCAGCAATCCATTCACCTCTTTCAAAACAGGAAGAAGATATCTTAAAAGAAACTATTAAAAGGTACATGTAACAAAAAGAAAATCAGCATTTTTCATTTAGAATTTTATATTTGGTAATGCTCAGTCTTTTACATTTTAACTTAAAGATATGTCAAAAGATTAAATCAGCAGATAAATAGGATTACTAAGTATGTTGATAAACCATGTTATCATAAACCAATGCTCATATTTTGTTATTTTATAAAAAAAAATGTGTTTTTTTTTTCAAAATACTTCTGTACGATTATTTCTTACCTTTAAAGTTTACAAGTTCGCTCAAAATTTCCCCCATTCTTATCCAATTTTAGAATCGCCAACGTTCTTTATGGTCGGGTTTTTGCAAAGCACCTTATCTGAGTGGAGTTGGGTATACTTGCATTCACCGGTCTAAATTAAGCAATTCGATACTAAAAATTAAATACTTATATCCTTTACATGTACGTTTACTGACCCATACGCTTAAACCAGCTACAAACCATACATATCCTCAACGATACAGCACAGACTTCACAGTTGCAAGTCTTCCTATACAACGACCAAGCTCTAGAATTGTTTCTTTAATAAAGCTGATGGTGTAAAAAATATTGTTACCCTAATGAGCTGTACTTAATTACCTAGTTCTTTTTTTCCAGGTTCATAGACCCCCTGACATGTCATCATTGGGAGGGGGTAGAGGTGGAGGAGTACCAGAGACAACTGCAGGGAATTCAGACCAACGGAACATTCAAACTCGGATAACAAATCAGTGGAATAAACATGAGAACAACAGAGTTTTTTTTCCTAATTTATAACTAACGGAATGATTCAGAATTGTTCTATTCTCATAACGTTCAAATTTTAAAAAAAATCAGTCCTACGTGTATCCTCTGTTTGCAGAATGAGCTAAATTTTTGCCAGTTCTATATTGCAGTGCACTTGTATGCCAACAAAAGATGAAAGTGGATTAAAACTACATTGTATATTTTACAGACTTGCTAGCTATTTTGACAAAACTGTTTGTCTTTCATAGAATTCTTAACCTATCGGATTCGATTGCTTTCCGATTTCAATTTATCTGTCAATGATTCTGTACATTTTGTTGTATGATCACTTCCAATTCATCATATTCTCTTTCTTGTATCTTATTTTGATCACCTTCAACCCCCAAGAGATCATCATATTGTTCATCCGTACTCTCAGCAATAATTTGTTGGTCCTGCACTCTCTCAGAACGCTTATCGTTTGTGCCCTCCTCAAGAATTGTTTCATCTATGTCGATATAGTCGTAATTATTTTTCTGCGTATTAACTGCTAGGGGCTTTTCTTCACCTATGTCGATATAGTCATAATCGTTAACTGCTAATGGCTTTTTGCAAATAGGTGAATAACATTTTATCCTGAAATGCCAAGACATAATTAATTAAGCAAGCTTTATGATTGGGTAGATATATGATATTCTAGGTAAGACAAAAATGCTTGTTATTTGTAATATAAAATGATCAAAATTTAAAGAAAAGGAGAAAGAGGGAAGTTTGAAATACAATGTACTGAATGCATGCTATAATGTGGTAAAGTACCGCCCGATTTTTGACTGCATAACTATTTATGGAATTTATGTCTAATTATACGTGTTCCCCAAAAGACCAAAAACACTCGATAGTTATTTCTTATATTTACACAGTTGCTGAACAATTGTACAAATGATGTTTTATTTTATTTTTAACATATGTTGTTTATTCCATATAAGCCTATAACACGTCAATACAATACTAAAAATTATGTGACCGCGACAGACTTATTATTGTATGTGTACGTCACATTATTGTCGTAGAAAACGCCCATTAATTCATGCTTCGTTGTGTTTTGTTTGTTTGCTTGTTTGTTGTTTAACGTCCCTCTCGAGAATTTTTCACTCATATGGAGACGCCACCACTTGCCGGTGGAGGGCTGCAAATTTATACCTATACTTCTAAAATTATAGTTTAATGTGACTTGATTTGAGTTCGAACGGGTTAGAAGTCATTACTAGTTTAAAGAACATGAATCACCTTAAAAGAATCCCTGTCAAAATCCCCACCATCAGTATTGAAGTAATTGAAACCACAAGCATCGTAGACAATATATTGGATTCATCTGAAAATATAAGAATTTTACTTAAATAACACTTTATTTAAAATTGAAACGATAAATAAAAGTACAATGCATCATGGTTTAGAGAGCACCTAACGATATACACGATAGAAACACGTTAAATGCAAAAGATGTTGTAAGGTTTCAACTTCATTAGTTTTTCTGCAATAATGAACTGGAAAACATATCTTAGTGGAATCATACTTGTAGGCAAGCTTTTTTTTCTTACCGAACTTCAATTAGTCCGAAATATCTTACTAGAAATGATTGTGATGCAATATATGGTCAGAATTTTTCTTGGAAATAAACAGGGAAGAAATCTTTTAATAATCTGAAGAATAGTAGAGCTAAGGTGACAGGTAAGTCTCTTGCTTAACGGAATTGTTTCGCACTAGAAACTGAACTCCGATAAATTTCCACAAGATATAAAGTGAAAGATCATTAACACATAAAAAAAATTACAGTCAAAAGCAGAAAAATTAAAAAAAAATGATACTAAAAACCGAAAATAGCATGGAAATTCAACCAAACCATCTTAGACTTTATTTAAGGTCTATCTGAGATATAAATCAATTTAGGAAAACTTATATGTATACTTTATTTAGATCTATTAATAAAAAACGTATATTTAAAAAATGCCATTTGAAGAACTTAAAGATAAAAGAATGTTTTAATTAAACAAATAATGAATGAACTTTTCTCATTCACCATCCATTATTTCCTTGCAAGAATTCATCCCGAGGATGATACAATGACTCTATCTTGTCTTATACTCCTTAAACCAGACTGAAAATGTTAAACCAGTTGTACTACTGTAGCCTTTAGGGAACTTCCGATACTTTGTATTTTCTTACTAGGTAATATTAAGATTTGATCAGTTGTGACAGAATCAGCACCACGTAATGTTGCAATCTGGTCAGTTGTGACAGAATCAGCACCACGTAATATTGCAATCTGATCGGTTGTGACAGAATAAGCACCACGTAATGTTGCAATCTGATTGGTTGTGATAGAATCAGTACCACGTACTGTTGCAATCTGGTCAGTTATGACAAAATCAGCACCACGTAATGTTGCGATCTGATCGGTTGTGACAGAAGAAGCACCACGTAATGTTGCGATCTGATTGGTTGTGATAGAATCAGCACCACGTACTGTTGCGATCTGATCGGTTGTGATAGAATCAGTACCACGTACTGTTGCAATCTGGTCAGTTGTGACAAAATCAGCTCCAGGTAGTTTTGTGATCTGATCCGTCGTTACGGAATCAGCACCACGTACTGTTGCGATCTGATCCGTAGTAACTGTTGTAGCAATTTCTTCTGCAATCGTTGATTGGCATGTTGGATCTACTTCTCCTAAAATTCAGCTTCAACATAATAAATACACTCGAACTCCCTTGGTTAGTTTGAAATGAATTTGGTTTCCCCTAAATAACTGGTGCAGTTTCTTTGTAATAAATACTCGTTTAGATTGAAATAGGTTAAATTGAAAAAATCTGTTAATTTGAAGTGATTTTGGGGTCGGCTAAACACAAAGCTTGTCGTTTTGATATGTTTTGATAACGGTTACATTGAAGTCGCCGATTGCGACGCGTGGACACAGGTGACTGATTATATACGAAGTAAATTTTTCACACATGTGATAAGATATCGGTGAACTTGTAAAAAATTAATTATGTCTTTTATAAATAAAACAATTGAGCATTTCTCCCCAAATCATATTACACTGTAAAAAATGTGCTTAGGAAATAAACACTTCCATTACATGTTTAGATCTAAACGTGTTTGATATTGTGTTTAAAAACAAAACACTTATGTCTAAATGTATTTAAAATCTATACGCGTTTAGATATTGAACATGTTTTTGTTTTAAATTCGGTCAAGTGCAGAGTTATCTTCCCGGAAATGATACATATTTGAACGTTAATAAGCGCGGTTGTCGAAACAAAGAAAATCACAACAAAACAGTAAACGATGTTTTCAAAAAAGCTGATGAGAATTTGAGTGCAAACCACCGCAGAAATAGTGAAAAACATGTGAAAGGCTCATTGTTATTGCTATAGGGTATGTATGCTTTTGTTTTTATATAAAATAAACATGATGAGCAAAGTAAATAACATTGCACTTTATATCAAGGATGTCTTTCGGTGTCATGTCATGTATTCATTAATGAGAGTAAATATTGAATCTATTCAAACATTTTTTTATATGCTTAGTAATTAATGTAAAACTTCAGCATGTTCAGTGAGGAGCACATACTGTTACTTATGCAACGTACGTCCTTTCTTACAGGTTAACTTAATTGGATAGCCGAGAGAAAGAACAAAATTCATTTCTGATAAAGGATGTGAATTATACTGCCGTAGAAAATACCTTCAAGATTATCCAGATAACCTGCTGCTTTGTTTACATCACGACGGATTTGAAGTAGTGATCCGTATTGCATCACACCGCAAGAAGCACACCATAGCTGGAGTCTTTTACATATATATTTACTTTGTATTGTGCTACTGGTACAAAATGCAGACAATTCAACAACTTTGGATGTTACTAACTCTTTAGATGCCAGATAGTTTTATATGTCAAAACTTCTAAAAGACTTTGTGACAAACAATGGAAACCATTCACAATTAAAAGGAATTCCACCGAACAATGATTCCGTGACTGCGTGAGAACACTTTACTGTGTGTTAGGCCTTTTTTTATCATTTTAATATGATGTTTAGAAGTAAATAAAACTTGAAACGGACACACCTGTTATATTTTTGGTTTTCTTGCAGATCCTTGTTTAAAACATTGAAGTGTTTAGCTTCTAAACGCGAATCTAAGTGTTTAGAATAGTGTTTAAACTCTAAACATGTATGTATTTAGGTTTAAAACACTTTCCATTACGCGTATTGAAATTCAACATGTTTAAAATTTAAACGCATTAAAAAAAGTGTGACAAGAATGTGTTTAGAAATGTGTCTATCATCTAAACACATTTTTTACAGTGTAGTCGTCATTTTTTTTTCTAAAAATTTCTGCGGCATTAAGACCGATATAGTTAAAATATATGCAAGGGTGTCGTATGTAAGCTTTTGTTTGGAGAAAATGCTGCAGTAAATAAATGCACTGTAAGTGATTGGAAATAGACTTCTTGATTTGAATCGGACTATATGAAGCATATGTTTTCAATGCTGATGAGACATGTTTGTTCTATAAATGTGAACCTGAAAAATCATCGTATCTACACGGCAATATTCAAGACGAACTTTTTTCGTGTGTAAATAGTCTTGATAGTTTTCTAACACGAATCCAAAAAGTAAATAATTAAGGACTTCTTTGAACAAAAGAGAAACATATATTTCTAAAACACCGCACGTAATGTTAGGTAAAAAAAAGAAGAATTTTCGCACGTAATTCGGTTAATTTGAAATAAATCTCAAGGTCCTTTAAATTTCAAGGTAAACGAGTTTGACTGTTAGTTTAAATGAAAATCGAAATTATTTTGTCAAAAAATCATTACAATTCATATACTCAGAAGTTAAACCTAAAACTACCATTTTGTGCTTGTGTATTTTTCTGTTTTATGTATATGTATATGAATTTGAACAACAAATTAAAATTAGCCATAAGCGGAAGACATCCGTCCTGGTTTACTGAGCCATTACTAACCAAAACAGTATCTCTCTGAACAAGCATCAAGAGCGGAAAGGCAATATGCTCTGAATGAAGCACAGTTTCGAATTTTTATTTTGACTTGTTTGGTACAAGTGTCGAAAAAACCAACTTTGCAAACGGTTCCATCTTTTTCTTCCCCATCTCCCCGTGGAATGGTTCCTAGTGATACAAAAGAAATTAGAAACTTTAAAAA